GCAAGCACTCTGCCACTTGAGCCACAGCACCACTTCCAGTTTCCTGGTGGTTAATTGGACTTTCCTGCCAGGGCTGGTTTTGAATCATGATCCTCAGCTCTCAGCCTCCTCAGTTGCTAGTATTACAGGCATGAGCCACTGGCACCTGGATAAACTCTTAAGATTTTATTGACCAGAACCATCTCCTCTATAGGGCCTTCAGAATTTTTTCTTCTCATTCTAATAATTTATAACAGAGACTACTAACCCAGGAAGCCAAAACTAGACATTGAGCCACTTTTTGTTGCTGTGTGTCATAAACTATGAGAGTCTGCCTCTTTACTTTCTTTTCAGAGGCAGAAATAGAAATTTGATTAAAATCCTAGCAGATAGGCAGGGGTGTGTGAAGCATCATTATTACATCAGAGGATTAGTGAAGACTTGGTGGAAAGTGTCACTACACAGACAGCACAGAGGACCACAGATGCTGTGGGAGCGCCAAGCCAAGAGATCTGGCTCCAGAAAGTTGAGAAGGGTGGCACAGACTGAGGACAAGCAACCCATGAACATGACAGCCTGTCTACAGACACCTGGACATAGCAGATGTCAGTGATGCCCACCTATAATTCTACTACTCAGGAGGCTAAGATCTGAGGATCACAGTTCAAAACTAGCCCCAGCAAGAAAATGTGTGAGAGTTTTTTCTCCAATTAACCAGCAAAAAGCCAGAAGTGGATGTGTAGCTCAATTGACAGAGCTCCAGTGTTGAGCAAAAAAGCTAAGAGACAAGCCTAGGCCTTGAGTTCAAGCCCCAGGGCTGGCACAAAAATTAAAAGCAAAAATACTAAATCCTGACAAGAGGACAGAGAGTATTGTATGCGCAGAATTCCCTTCCCCCAGACAGTCCCATTTTCTGATGGTAACAGGACTGCCACCATCTTAAAAAGCAAGCAGGCCAGATAACCCAACTGGTGTTTGTGTTCTTGGTAGTTTGTTATCTTCACTCCCTTCAGAAGGAGAACAAGGAAAAGAAAATATTCTAGGCTGGAGAAAAGGGTGCTTACAAAACCTATCTCCAATTTACCAGCAAAAGCATCTAGAGATGGAGCTTTAGCTTAACCGGCAGTGCATCAGTCTTGAGCAAAAAAAGCCAAACAAGAGCAAAAGGCCCTGTATTCAAGCCCCAATACCTTTAAATTCCAATACTGCATTCAATGGTAATATTTGTCAGTTCCAAGAGCCTTTATTGCTGAGAGTTGAGAATATAGATTTAAGTTATCAACTTCTAAAACATAAGAAAGTATTCTAAATTGGAAACAGAGTGGAGAAGGAAGGTGTCCACATATCTAACAGACTTAGGAAGCTATGGACTCCATTTGGCACTATGAAAGCAATCTTTCAAATTTCCTTCTCCTCCTCCTGTCTCTTCAGCTAAGATGTCATCCTCCTGTTATCAGAGCCCAAGGGTTCCCTGTCCTGGCTCCCCTGGCCTCCTGGGGGCCTCCTGGAGTCCTAAGCTGAAGTTTACACTTATAACTGAGTTCTACCAAGTCTCTCCACTCTGAATTGGCATGGCATTATACTATTTTGCTACTTTAATTTTTTAATCTTCTGTAGTAAAGAAGTTTTAAAACTAAAAAGGAATGCTAAAGAAAGGGGAATTCAATAAGTATAATGTTTCAATAATCTTTCCAGATTTTATTTTTAGTGGGATTTCTAAAAGGAAGTCTAATTTTACAAGTCTAAGTATTTATGATAGAATGCCTTTCCTTCCCAAATGTAATCTTCATAGAGGAATGAGAAGTAGAAAAACAAGCTAGGTGCTAGTAGCTCACCCCCATAATCCTAGTTACTTGGGAAGATGGGGGTCAGGAGGATCATGGTTAGAGTCCAGCTCAGGCAGAAAAATTCTTGGTACCCCATCTCAATTGAAAAGGTTGACCTTCATGACACACATCTGTCATCCTAGCTATAAATAAATTAAAAACAAGGGTGGACAAAGACCACAGTACAGACCAAAATAGGCAAAAAGTAAGACCACAGCAAAACAACTACAGCAAAAAGGGCTGGAGACATGCATTGAACAGTGGAGAACCTACCTAGAAATCAGGACACCCTGAGCTCAAATGCAAAATTTCAAAAAATGAAAAATAAAATAAAGTAACAGTCAAGTGCTGGTGGCTCATACCACTAATCCTAACTACTCAGGAAGCTGAGACCTGGAAGATCTCAGTTTGAGGCCAACCTGGGCAGAAAAGTCTTTAGAGTCTATCTCCAATTAACCAGAAAAATTCTACATTAGATGTATTAATCAAGTGGTAGAGCATAAACCATAAGCAAAAAAAGTCAAGCAAGAGGTCCAGAGTTCAAGTCCCAGTACCAACAAGAAAGGAAGTTAGAAAGGAAAGGAAAGAGAAGGGAAGGGTAAGGGAAAGGGAAGAGGAAAAGAAAAGGAAGGAAAGGGAAGGGACGGGGAAGCGAAGGAAGGAGAAAATAAGGACAAATGGAAGGGAAAATAGGAAAGTTATAAGGATGAGTATATGCCAATAAATTTAACCTTTCTGATTTGGGAAGTTTGATAGATTGTGAAAACTATTCATAAATCCAGAGTATCTAGAAAGTAAGAAGTTTATATAGAAAAAGATAATGAGTTTCATTTTAGAAACTGGTACTTTTGGAAACTATGCCTCACAGTAGAAAAGGTGTTGGCTAGATAATGAGGTGTGGTGGCACGTATCTGTAATCCCAGCATGCAGAAGGCTGAGGCAGGTGGATCTAAGTTCAAGGCAAGCCTAGTCTACACAAGAAGATTCTCACAAATAAAAAAAAAGCAAAGGAAAAATGGAAAGAAAAAGTATAGACTAGAGCTATAATCTCCAAACTTGTGGATTAGAGTTGAAATCATGGATATGAAGTGAGTTTACCAAATCTATGTAACTAAACAAGGTTGAAGTATATGAACTGAGTAATAAGGCATATGAATTATCTGATTAATTATGTAATTATGTAATAATTATGAATTATTACATAGGGTGGCAAAGAAGCTTCACTGTGCTCTGGTTACCAACTTGTCTCAGTCTACAAAGCAAAATACACAGATATCAAGTTATATAGAATTGATTTGTTTTGTGGAGAAAAGCATCAAGAAACAAAAGGAGCTAAAGATCCATAGAGGGTTGGACCCTCAAGACTCAGGAAAGCTACTCAAGATGTAAGGTCTTAACTGCAGCGCTGAAGGGCCACAGGGTTCTGTGCCTCTGGGGAAATGTGACTCACTGGGCAAAGCTTTGAGGGACATCCTATTTCAGAAAAGAAGACCTTAAGCCAGGGCTGTCCCTGGTAGCTGCTCCCCAACTCCAGACTTTAAGCCCCTTATGAAGGAAAGAACAAGGCCCATCCTATCAGTCCCTCTGCATCTCAGGATGCCAAGTTTCCAGAATATTCTATAGCTCTTGAGAAGGTGCAGCAGGAAAGGGGAAGAATTTGTTGGTACAAAGCCATCCCAAGAACAACTGTCTTGTGTATGGCAGAAATAATTTCAAAAAGCAATGCTAGATTTAATTTTTTTTTTTTTGTCAGTAGTGGGGCTTGAACTCTGGGCCTGGGCGCTGTCCCTGCACTCTTAGCTCAAAGCTAGCACTCTACCACTTGAGCCACAGCGCCACTTCTGGTTTTCTAGTAGTTTATTGGAGATAAGAGTATCACAGACTTTCCTGCCTGGGCTGTCTTTGAACCATGATCCTCAGATCTCAGCCTCCTGAGTAGCTAGGATTACAGGCGTGAACCACAGGCACCTGGCTGCTATTATTATTAATATTTAATATTATTATTTGAATGTGTTCATATGTTTGAATATTTTTCAAGAATCCTGGAACCGTTTCCTAAAAAGAAACTTAGTACCTCTAGAGAATCGCATTCAAATCTCAACCAAGAAAATAGTTTTATACCATGCACAAAGGCCTCCAGAAAAACTGCTCCAATCCCTTTCCACTAGTCCATTCCCTCACAAGTGTCTTTATTCTCCCTTACACCTAAAAACAACTAAAGCATCTTGAGGTATTTCACTTCGAAAATTATATTCTTCTCATCCCTCTACTAATTAAATTTTTATTATTATAACAATTACTTGAGATAGATCAAATTAAAAAATACGAAAGATTTGTTTTAGCTAACAGTTCAGAAGCTCACAGTCCATGTACTATTGTTTTGGCCTGTGATAAATAGAACATGATGGCAGAGTCTAGTGTAGAAGAAGCCCATTCACTTCATGACCAGGTAAGGAAGTGGTAAAAAGTACAGAGAGTGGAAGAAACAGCAGGACTCCTGCTGTCCTATTTGAGGGCACACCCCCAATGTCCAAAAGACCTCTCACTAGGCCCCACCCCTTAAAGTTTCAAGAGCTTCTCAATAACACCACGTTGAGACCACGCCTTTTAACACATAGGCCTTTTAGAGCTATTGAAGATCCAAAATAAAGCACTCCACTAATAAATAATGATGAAATTAATGAATGAAACTATGGTATTTGTTATGTTTGTTTGCTTAATAAGAGAGAATAATCACTGAATGCCAAAATGCCTAAGCAGAAAAAAGGAATGAGATCTCTGAAAAAAGAATGAGATCACACTGGTTGTGTTTCCCTTTGTTTTTGTTTTTTTGTTTGTTTGTTTTTTCTAAATGTAATCATCACAGCCACCTATCCATGTTAGTATATCTCCAGCATAAGTTTGAATGACTGAAGAATATTTAGGGAAACAAAGTGCTAAGAGCAGTGCGCTTTACTTTAGTATGTCTCAAATACCTCTTGTTCAGGTTTGGTCTACATACTAATTGAGGCAGGATCACTGCACTCTTATTAAACTTGGGAGACTAGGGACCCATCGTCTTGCTACAATTGCACCAACTTCCTGGAAGATAAATAATCAACAAGCTTGAGACTTATTTTCCCAAACACCCAGATGCTGTTGTTTTGTTTTGCTTATATGTTTGTTTATAATTTTCCTGCTATCTGATTTTTTTAGGAGACAATAACGGATGGTCTCTGCAACTGGACAAATATTTTGCTAATTATTACCGAATGACTTCCCCATATCCCTTCAAGGCAGAAACATCTGAATGCCGTGAGTACTCAGAATAACTGAACCTCCAGTCCCACTAAGTGTTTAAAAGTTGAGTCCAACATTTTCTTTTCAAAATCTTAAACGGTAATTAATCCTTTTTTCTAGTTGCAAACTTTATTAGAGATGCAGCCTCATAATGGGATTTAAGGGAAGGAAGAGTAACAAGGTTGAATGTGACCAAAGTACATTGCATGCATGTATTAAAACGTCACAATGAAAACCTATTATTTTGTACAACTAATGTATGCTAATAAAAAGAAGTCAGGAAAAAGGGATGCAGCTTTAATTTGGAAAATCTGTTTTAAAATGTTTCAGGGATCTTAAGTACAAGAGTTATCAATTATTTCGAATATTAAAACCAAAATTAACTATTTTACAAAACATATTATAGAATAACTGAACAGCTGTCTGGGTTTTAACATTTACAAGACAAAACTCTTCTGGGGGAATCTAACTTATAAAGAAAGCCTTCTTAATTATAACCTTCTATGTGTAGTCATATACCAAAAATTTACAAACTGCTGTATGGCATGTGGAAGGGTAATACTTAGGGTTAACTTTATAGTATTTTAGATCAGGAAAAGTTATGAAAATAATCCCTTTTACATAAATATTACATATTTTAATTAACTATGAAATGCATGTCTATGCCTTGACAGTAGATTTTTAAAACCTTGGCAGAAAGCAAGCGCTAGCTAGGTGCCAGTGGCTCATGCCTGTAATCCTACCTACACAGGATGCTAAGATTTGAGTCTCATGGTTCAAAACCAGCCTGGGAAAAAAATTGCATATGAAACCAAGGGATCTATGTTTCTTTGGGTCTGGCTTACCTCACTTAATATAATTTTTTCCAAGTCTTTCCATTTCTGATGGAGGCATAGAATTCCATTGTGTGTGTGTGTGTGTGTGTGTGTGTGTGTGTGTGTGTGTGTGTGTGTGTGTGCATGTGTGTCTGTCTGTGTCTGTGTGTGTCTGTGTGTGTATATATATATGTATATATATGAAAATATATATACATATATATATATATATATACACCACATTTTCTTGATCCATTCATCTACTGTGGTGCATCTGGGTTGGTTCCATATCTTAGCTATGGTGAATAGTGTTGCGATAAACATAGTTGTACTGGTAGCTTTAGTATGGCCTTGTTTGTGATCATTTGGGTAAATGCCTAAAAGTGGGATTGCTGGGTTATAGGGGAGCTCTATGTGTAGTTTTTTTGAGGAACCTCCATACTGCTTTCCAAAGTGGTTGAACAAGTTTACATTCCCACCAACAATGAAGCAGGGTTCCCTTTTGGCCACATCCCCTCCAGCATCTGTTGTTATTAGATTTCTTGATTATTACCGTTCTAACTAGGGTGAGGTGGAATCTCAATGTTTTTTTGATTTGCATTTCTTTTATGACTAGAAAAGTGGAGCATTTCTTCATGTGTCTACTGGCCATTATTTTTTTCTTATCTTCAATAACTAGTATATGTCTAGGACAAGCAGAAGAGGTCTAAAGCTATGTACATATGACCATATAACCTGATGCTAAGTGAAATGAAGCCCAAGATAGGGACATGAGATTTTATCTTTCTTGTTGTTCTTTTTAATGTACTAATAATGTACTATGTGATTTTTTTGTTTATTTGTTTCTTTGTATGTTCTTCACCCATGGTACAACCCCTGTTGTCACTGTATTTGATTCTGGTGTCCTGCACCTTGTAGATGCATTTTTCTAATTTGGGGAGGGGAAGGGAAATAACAAAATGCTAAAATAAGGATACAGGATGACCCATTGTAACAATGAGATGTACAAGACACTACACTGAAAATGAACTTTACAACTTCTGGGGGTGGGGAGGGAGGAGTTGGGGAGGTGGGGAGGAAAGTGATGGTAGGGGAAAAACAAAGAAGGGGGTAACAATGGAAATGGACTCATTACCTTGCATGTAACTGTAACCCCTCTGTACAATATCTTTACAATAAAATATATATTTTTTTAATTCCACATGACTCTTATCTCCAATTAACCACAAAACTGGCTGTGGCTCAGGTGGTGGAGTGTTAGCCTTGAACAAAAAAGTTCAGGGACAGCACCCTAGCCCAGAGTTCAAGCCCAGGACCAGTAGAATAAAAAAAAAGGCAAAGGCCAAGGGAGGGGGAAAACACTTTGCTATACTTTTTTCACAAAGTGTAAAATCTGGCTTTTCAAATTTTTCATATTTTATATTCACTGCACAATGAGGTTAAATAAGCTAGCAATCACTAGTTAAGGAATGCCCATCTCTCCCATTTTAGCATAAACTCAGTACCATCTCAGCCATTCACTTTCACTGAGGAGAACTGGATAATTAGCCCTCCAGGGAAGAGGGAGTTAATAATTTGCTTATTAAAAAGTTAAAAGCTTTTGGAGGAACAAAAAGTTAATGGGTACAACTTAAGTACTAATATAATGCAAAAAATAATAAATTATACTATGCTGTCTAAAAACACAGGTGTTTTTAATTTTTATTTTACTGTGAATTATTTTGATATCCCTTCTTAAATTTTAGCTGCAAGTTTTTACATTTTACTCCAATTTTTTTTAGCAATTTACAATTCAAATATGGCTAAGCAGATTATAAACAACAAAAGTTAAAAGGTGAATGAAAGGGACTATCAAAGAAAACTATGTAAGAGAATCCTCCCTGAGAAAAGTCCAGCAAGCATGTCCATAGCTCAGTTGACCTCTTCTGGCCATTAGATCAAAGATGGAGAATAGTAGGCAACGTAACTTTCCTAGGCTGCTGTGTCAGGCAACACCCACCAACCAACCCAATCAAGTCATATGAGGCAGGAAGTCACCAATAAATGATAGATCAAAAATACACAAGTCACTTTAGTATAGAGAAAATAGGAAATTTTTGTTTTGTTTTGTTTTGTTTTTTGCCTGTCATGGGGCTTAAACTCAGGGCTTGAGAACTGCCTCTGAGCTTCTTTGGCTCAAGGCTAGTGCTCTACCACTTGAGCCACAGCTCTTCAGGCTTTTTTCTGTTTATGTGGTACTGAGGAATCAAACCCAGGGCTTCATGCAAGCCCTTCATGTAGGCAAGCCCTCTACCACTGAGCCACACTCCCAGCCCAGTAATTTTTATTTTGTCTGTGCCAATCCTGGAGCTTGAACTCAGGGTCTGGGCACTGTTGCTGAGTTTTTTGGTAAAGGCTAGCTCTCTCTAACACCTGAACTATAGCTCTACCTCTGGCACTTTGGTGGTTAATTAGAGACAAGACTCACAGACTTTCCTGCCTGGTCTGACTTCAAACTGCATTCCTTAGATCTCAGCCTCTTAAGTAGGTAGAATTATAGGCATGATCCACTGAAACCTGACTATGATTAAATATTATTCAACTTAAAAGCTGTGTAAAACTAGAATGAATAATATAATATAAAATCATAGAGTGAAAGCTAAATTAAGATTCCTACTGTCCTTTACAAGAAAATTTTTTAAAAAAGATTCCTACTGTCCACTTTATATATGATTATTATAGGAATTTATTTGGAATTAACCTGAGAATGCCATATCATCAGTTTTGGCTAGATAAAACAATTCATATTTTTTAAAATATATTCAAGATCAGTATCATGGAGCATATAATGTCTATGATTAATCAATACATTATCAGAGTTTAAATTTGAAGGATTTTGGGAGGAAATGACCATCCAATAACCACACTGTATTCAAAGGTTACTAGTATGAAGTTGCTGGTGCATTACTTGTCTTATTTTATTTCACATCATTTTGTTTCAACCTAGTTAAAATTTCCTGGGCAAATCATATTTATCAAAACTTAAATTAACATTTTAGCATAATCCAGTATCTTATCATAAACTCTTTTTAAATACAGTACATAATTTATAATCTATTTTAGCAGCATGGTTTGCTTATTCTTTTGTTGTTCATTACTTATTTTTCATTTTGCCCTACTACAGAAAACCCAGAAAATAATCTCATTCAGTCTGTATATATGAGAAATCCACCCCCTACACCCCTCCCAGGGATGCATGCTGATTGGCTACCTTCCTTTTCCATCTTTCTTCCTACTCTCTTGCCCTCAGGACTGTCATCTTTCTCTCACCCTTTGTCATCATGTCCCACAACTTAAGTTCACACTCACATCCTAGATCACACTAGGAAAGAATTCTTACTATGCCAAACTCCTGGGGAGTTCTCTGCCATTCTTGCTTCCATCAAATAGTGAAACAATAGTGATCTTGAACTCTTATAATCCTGTAAAGGAGGCTCTGCAGTTACTTGGAAGAAAGGCAAAAACATGTCCCCTCATGTTAAGGAATACATTTCTAGCTCGAACCCTATAGCCATAGTGCTTAATACAGTCATACCCAGGAGCTCTCTACCTGTCTGTCCTCTGAAGGCTTTACTCTATAGGTCAGACACCTAAAGCTTGGGAGCAGAAAATTCTCATAGAAAGTTTTGCTTGTCCTATACTATTTTAAAGTAGCTATTATCATTTTTAGATAAATACTTAATTTTTTAACTTTTAAAAAATATATTTTTTAAAAAATGTATTCTGGTTTCAGCTACCAACTGCCTAGTCTAATTTAGCAACAGTTAGAAAAAAACTCTTCCCTTGGGACATCTGGACAGTCTACACCTCCCACAGTCTGCCCTCCATATGTAAATCTGTATTAGTATGGGGCTAGAGATGTCAATGCAGAGGGGAGTCATCTCTTGCTACTCTTACTACTATTCATTTTGCCTGGCAAAGCAGGTATCAGACTGAATCTATTATACCAATTTGTTAAAGAATTTATTAGAATATTTAGCTATAGGACATATTGCAAGGCTCAGGTGAACTTTGATGAACAGAATCACTTCTTAAGGCTATCTACAAATCCAGCCTCTTAAGACAACCAACAATATACACTCTATTCTTTTTCTCTTTCCATTATCCAGCATGAATGTGTGTGCAGAAAAAATGTTTACAGCCATAAATGAATGTTTAGGCATGCTTCACTTTTATGTAAGACAAAAAAGCCCATTTCTTAAAAAAAAAAAAAAAAAAACTACCTTGAGGTATCTGTTACCACACTAAGCTTTCATTGGTTGAGATGGAGTCTCATGGACTTCCTGCTTGGACTGACCTTGAGCCAGAATCCTATGGATCTCTGCTTCCTGAGAAGCTAGGATCACAAGTATGAGCTATCTTGCCTAGATTCTGCTACCCATTTCTTTTTCCTCAGTACTGGAGCTTGAACTCAGGGCCTGGACGGTGTCCCTTCCTTAGCTTTTTTTCTCAAGGCTAGTACTCTACCACTTATGCCACAGCTCTAATTTCAGCTTTTGCTGGTTAATTGGAAATAAGAATCTCATAGACTTTGCTGCCTCGGCTGGCTTTGAACCACTGTCCTCAGATTTCAGCCTCCTGGGTAGCTAAGAGTATTGCATGAGCCACATGTGCCTGGCTCTGTTTCTCATCTCTATTTAACATGCTAGTAATTTCTAGCTAATAATAATGCAAGAAACATAAACAAATAATTGGAAAGCAAAATTTTAAAGATAAAATAAAAACCCTTTTGAAGAACTACAATTTTCCAGAAAAAAAAGACCATCAATGTTATCATGTAGTGTTTGTTTCTTCTCTTTCTTGCTGGTTAAAAATGATTTAGTGTCCCAGGAAAGATTTTGATTATGCTATTAATAAAGTGTTGATTATTAAGTAGAAGCTTTCCTATGAACATTAAACTCCATCATACATTATCTCATCTCTCTTTGGTGACATAAAAGCAGAAGCTTGCACACATTTTGAAACAAATGAAGAGCCATCTGTTATTTTAAAAAAATGGTGAGCTGGTAAATGTGTATATTTCCAAATGTTAATGCTCAAGCATAATATTTCAAGCTAAATGAAAAGCAAGCTTTGGAATCCTAATTTAAAGCATTGCCCATACTGCTTAGGTAAGATGTGGCAAATTTTGTACTAAGTCATATTCTTATAGCTTTTCATTTCTTTCTCTTCATTGCCTTTTTGGGCCCTCACTTTCGTCATTTCTTGCCACTTTCTCATTTCTTAGTGGTAGGTTCTGTGCCCGTGCGTTGTTTGTGCCAAGGTCTGGAACTGGACTGTGATGAAGCCAATTTACGAGCTGTTCCATCAGTTTCTTCAAATGTGACTGTAATGTAAGTAGAAAACAATGGCCTGTCCTAAAAGACAGAATGAAGTGCCTGTAAAAAAGAAGCACAATTAAGATTGTGTCATTATTAACAATGCATTTTTATTCAAAGTGATGCCATTGTTCCCAGATCGACCATAATGACTGCTCATTTTGCTTTGCATTTATAAAATACTAGAGCCTATCTAAAGTCATTCCATACATTAATTCATTCAATCTTTCATAATAATCCTATGAAGTAATGGATATCTACTTTATCCAAACAAAAGATATCACCAGCTTCATAAGCTAGTAAATCAAAAAGAACTTCTAATTACATTTCTACCTAGAACTTTTCTATTGTACAGGAAATTCACTTGACATTTATTGGAAAAGCTCTTTTATAATGCATTACATATAAATTTTAATATATTCTTACGTATAAAAAAGAGAACAAGTAAAATAAATTGGATAAGATCATTTTAGAACTTCACATTTAAATTAGCTTTTATGATATTGACTCAGATATTGATGTTTTTTCCTAGGCAATTCAAATTTATGTATGCAAAAGAAAATGATTCTCATAATAAATGGTTTGTTGATTTCTAGGACTAGTGTTTCTAAGTTTCTAGTAATATTTATTTTAATTTAACCACAATCAATAACACAAACACATTTGCCTCAAACTTTTTAAAAGACAATAATGGGAGGTAGATTTAGGGGGATTTGGGAGTTTGCTTTTGACAGTGCTGGAGATCAAATCTAGGACCATCAGCAGGATAGGCAAGCATTCTGAAGATAGATATTCAATCTAAATGTTTTATCAGATTGTTATGTTGATGATATTTCCCATTCAGAAGTTTCAGTGTGTTTTTTGGCTTTGACTTCTGCGTATATAAGGACAAAATATGAATGATTCTTATGTTTACTCATATTAACAAGCGTGTGCTCAAACTAAAACACCTGTACACCAATTCAGATGCTTAGCACGCAGTGTTGGAAGCCATAGCAGGGTTCCTATCCACCTGGCTTACCAAATTCATAGCCTCTGAAAACATCTGGAGGTTAAATCACAAACACTTGTTCCTCAAAGGAAATAACAATGCCACCTAAACCTGCCTTCCCACATCTGTTATAGCAATTACTCCTGCTAACAAAAACAGTGATCAACCAGAGAAACCAGGGTCCTATGAAGACTATTATTTAAATTTCAACTGGAAATGCTACACATAAAGAATCCTCATAATTTCATTCTACTTTCAGAGGTTAAAAAAAATCATTATTGTCCCTTAATGTGTATATCAAATTACAGAAAAATCCAAACCAAAGAGTTAACCTAGCCATGCACTGATGACTCATGCTTGTAATCCTAACTACTTGAGAGGCTAATAATGGAGGATTGCAGTTCAAGGTCACCCTCAGCATAAATTCACAGTAGCATGTGCCTGCCACCCCAAGCCTTGTGAGAGGTTGGGATTTTGAGGATGATGATGGCATCAGGTCAATTTAGGCATAAAAGTCCTTGAGATAGCTGGGTGCCAGTGACTCACACCTGTAATCCTAGTTACAAAGGAGGCTGAGATGTAAGGATCACGGTTCAAAGCCAGCCTGGGCAAGGCAAGTCCATGAGACTCTTATCTCGTAGAAAACTGGAAGTGGTGCTCACCTTGAGCTGAAAAGTTCAGTGACAGTGCCCAGGCCCAGAGTTCAAGCCCCTTGAGACTCCATCTCCAAGGAAGGGAGACAGACATCAGCAATGAAAAAAACCTAAAAGTAGGTCAATCATGGCTCCAGTGCAGCCTCACCCAGGAAAGTGAGACTTTACCCCCAAAATAACCAGTGAAAAATGGGGCTAAAGATGTGGCTCAAAAGTATCATGGCATAACAAGCATGAGGTTCTGAGTTCAAATCCCAGTACACCAAAAAAAAGGAAAAAGAAAATATCATGTTGGTACCCATCTCATTGTCCAGTTTATACATGTATACACACATATATATATATATATATAGAGAGAGAGAGAGAGAGAGAGAGAGTTTTCCACTCTGATATTAGGTGAAGAAAAACAAATCTGGGACCAGATCCTCACAATTGAGCTATAGAGCTCTCAAGAGCAGAGTGCTTGCTAGCATGCTGAGGATCTTGGGTTGAATTCACAGCACTGTCGAAGAATTCTTTTGTGTTTGAGGTTGAACCCTTTGACTCCAGTGTCTACTTACATGTTTCCCTTCAGGACAGTAGCTGAGCCTCACACCTTGTCTGTGTGTTCACTTCCTCGGGGAAAAGAACTCTAGTCTTTACTGCAAACACATTAAAGAACTAAATACAAATTTTCATTACTGAGCCATGCAAGCTTTTACTTAAGAACATTACAAAGAAATGTCAGATATGAACTAAATCATATATAAGTAAAGTATCAAAGAAGCCAGTAATCCAAATAATTTTTATTGGAGTTGGGGCTTTGGAAAACATTGCACATAAATGATAAAAAATTCTAACATTCTCCTAGCATGCTGTACATTAACTCTCAGAGTTTATGTTCAGATTCTGAAATTCACCATGATCCAAAATAAGAGCTTTCTTTACAAAACCAGAACTTGATTTGACAATAATGATAAAACTAGGTCTTTTCTCTCTATGTCACATAAACATACACATATGCACTATATGTGTATATAGTACATAACTTTATATATATTATATATATACAATATACATTGTATATGACTTGGTGGTATCAAATTTTGAAATACAAGAATCTATTATATTGAAGTATTTTCATTTCTTCTAATCAATGAAAATAGTAACATCTACCTCTTCCAATTTCAATCATATATTTTGAAAATAATTTTGATGAAAATACTTGGTATCAACTAGAAAGGAGTGAATTCTAAGGATTCTATGTTAATGAAGGCCTAACTTTACCAAGAAATATTCATATCTGTCCCTAACAAGTTTTCATCAGTTGAGTAACCCTTCCTCCCACCATGCCCCAGTGCAATTAGCCTCTCATAGAATTTCCCTTGTTTTTTGTTTTTGTATTTTTTTGTGTCTTGGCAGTACCAGAGTTTGAATTCAGAGCCTCATGCTTTCCAGCCAAGTGCTCTACTGCTAAGTCTCACCAGTGATTTTTGCACTAGTTACTTTTGAAATCTGTCACTTCCTGTCCAGTGCACACCTGAAGTCCTCTTATTTGATGTTTATCTTTACACAAAAGAAACATTGAAAGGGGATATAAGACAGAATTTGGTTTGGAAGCCAAATATTAGAAAACTCTCAACTTGCTGGTATAAATAAGATAACAACCTAGCAGCTAAGCTTAACTTCAAGAGAAGGTTACTAGTTATTCAACCTTTGGTGTTAAATTCTCATTTGTTTGTTAATATATCATTGACTGCTATATTTAGTCAAGACCAGTTTCTTTCATCTTTCTCTTATTCAATACTGCCTTCTAGGAGCCTTTTTAGATATTCTCTCCTATTTGTTCCCCTCTGTGAAATTTTAATAATGCAGATATACGGTGTATCTACTTATGTATATCTGAGGTTTATACATTTTTTTATTTAAATTTTATTGTAAAGGTGATGTACAGAGGGTTTACAGTTACATAAATCAGGTAGTGAGTACATTGCTGAACAGTGTCATCCTTCTGATTCATACATTTCAAATGTGTTTTATTCACTTTCTAAGACCAATCCTTATCCCACCCCCATTGAGGACAAATGGTCTTCTAGAGTCTAGAATAGTGTTTCTCAAATTAGACTCTGAAATGTTTTCTGGGGAGTCTGAGAAATTATCTTCCTTTAAGAACTCATTGCTGGGTTTAAGGGGTTCTGGTCCAAAACCTAACATTAATAGAGCCTTTATATAACAGCATCCTAACCTGAGCTGGCCTCCAGACCATACACATTCGTGACCATTTATCCATAGTATCTGTTCTGCCACACTATAAAATAAAGGTATTGATCAAAACACTGATAAAGATCATCTGGTCCAAATCCCTCATTTCACAGTTAAAGAGACTTGCTTGGGGAGGTTATGTGTGGTTCTTGGGAGGGAACTCTGCTGAGCTGATTTTTTTTCTTCCTTCACATACTTTGTTTCTACTATTTTATAGTGCTTTTCCTTAAAAAAAAAAAAAAAAGTAATCAATCAAACAAACAAATGGAACCTTTCTAATACAACCACAAGTTTGTGGACCTGCTCTGTATCAAATTTCTTATTAAATTGTGGTACAAGAGAAAACCTTTCTGCACTACTTACCAGAAATTAAATTACTGAGCAATGGTTCTTCAACTGTCATTTTAAGGTAATGCAATGTAGACAATATCATATTTATGAATATATAACTAAATTGCCCAGTGACTTTTTCAGACTTGTATATATTACATTTTAATCAGAAGAACCTTCTCCATTGCTTTTTCTTTCCCTGCAATTTCCAACTCCGTACTAAGAGTTTTCATTGGAATCCCTTATGCCATCTTCACATTCAGATGCATTGTATTTTGAAATTATTCCCTCTCCATCTTTCCCTTTTCCCCTCCCCTCCACTTCCCCTAGAGTGCTTTTTAAAGAGAAAATACAATTTGTATTGTTATGTGATACTCAGATGTCTTCTGATATGAAGTAAAAACAGAAAAGAGCACAACTGAAAAATCAATTTGCTTCAAATTTTATTATTTTAATTTTCATTAGAATTACAATGTGGTAACATAAATTTAAGAAATGATGACCACATTCAATAGTACAAAACCAAGTTAGAACTAAATTCAAATACCAATACAAGCATGTTGCAGTGAAATGTTTCCTTAAAACTAATGTCACTGTAAAGAGTATAATTGTCTATATTGTAATTTGAAATAAGAAGCAAACTTTTTATTTATTTCAGGTCACTTCAGTGGAACTTCATAAGAAAGCTTCCTCCCAATGGCTTCAAGAAGTACCATGATCTCCAGAGACTGTAAGAAAAACATTTGATTCCTGACATTAAAACTAATTAGCATTTTTCAATAGATCTGTTTCTTGACAATTCTATAGAGACTAATACTACACTACCACTTTAGGTAATCGGTTTTTTAGAAAAATTGCACATAGAAACCTGATCTTGCATAAACAATCCCAGACTGGAACTATGTACACAACTTTCAGACTTTCTATCAAATGATACAGAACTTGTCTATCAATGGAGGCTTTAAAGTGGAGGGACTAGGGGAGAGAGGAAGAGAAATTTTGCCACCACTTCAATATCCACCAAAGATCTTTTGCCAAGATCTATCATCAAGATTGAATAGAGATGAATTTCCTACAATATCTTTAACTTCAAAGTTGGCCTCTGCTTTAGATAGCAAGTTCTTGTGATTTGTAATTTGTGTGGTTTGGGGGAACTTGACTCCATTTTTCACTTTAGCTTTGTGGGTTTGACCTCTAGCATTATTAAAATGTTTGCTTCCCTTTATTTTAGGGTCATGAATACCTCTCAGATCCCCAACGGACCAAGTATAATTTAACTGTGATTTAGGTCAACTTTATGACTACATCATATTGTTATATACTTGAATTACTGTATTTAGATATTTTGTGTCTAAATCACTCTATCTAGAAAACATCCCAGACTTCTCATTTTAATTTTATACTTGTATTAGTTTTATTTTTCTCCTTTTTTGTACTAGAGAAATGTGTCATATTAATATACCTACACTTTTTTTGGGGGGGGTCCAGTCGTGGGGCCTGAACTCTGAGCTGGGCACTGTCCCTCAGCTCTTCAAGGCTAGTACTCTACCACTTAAGCCACAACGCCACTTCCGGCTTTTTTCTTTTTGCTTATGTGGTGTGGAGGAATCGAACCCAGGGCCTCATGCATGCAAGGCAAGCACTCTACCACTGAGCCACCTTCCCAGCCCCTACCTACACTTTTTAAGTACATAAAAATAGGACAGAATCAAAAGAAAAATTAACTACTTCTTCAATGAAATGCTCTATAAAACAGATAATCTGCAAAAATATTTACAAAGTAATTTCTAATGACTTTTCAGAACTTCATTCTGAATATTTATGTTTTAAAAAAAGAAGATCTGCTGAAAATTAGGCCTGATATAAAACTTCAAGAGTGTACTACTCCCTTTTCTGTCTTGAGTCTATAGCAATTTTCTGATCTGTAGTATCACCTCATGACCACATGTTTAAAAGAAGTCAGACTACAAAACTAAATTCAGGATAATATAACTCAGTAATCTAATATTGATAAAGTCATCAAAATTGATGATAATATAACTCAGTAATCTAACAAAAATAAATTTAAATTATTTATTAAAAGTATAACTTGAGCCAAGGACTGGAGTCTCATGCTTCTGCTCCTAGCTTCTAAATAGGCTGAGATCTGAGAATCCCAGTAGGCAGACAAATTAGAGAGAGTCTTATCTTCAATTAACTAGCAAAATGCCTGAAGTGGAAGTGTGACCCAAGTGCTAAAACACAAGCAGCTTTGACTGGAAAAAGCCAAGCAAGAGCAAGAAGCCCTGAGTTCAAGTCCCCCTCCACACACACACACACACACAAACACAAAGTATAGCTTGATTCAGCCTCTAAGTAAGGCAGTCTAATTAATGCTAGATTATTACAACAGTTAGAAGCAAAGATCTATTAATGTTCCTCTATACATTAGAGGAAAAGATGTGCTCTGGACACCATGACTGGGTCTATGCATGTTGTGCGAATGTCAAGTACATAAAAAGTTCATGATGATATTTTACCATCGAAGTTAGATCTTCTTGAGTATCAAAGAATAGGGAACCTCTTTTATTCCACATTTTTATTTAACTCCAAGTTTATTCATGTTGATTTCTCCCTATTGTCCCTAAAATTTACAACAAGTTCTGTATAAATTCAGAATACTCTAAAGAACAACAGTGACCTACTTACTGAACAGGACAGGCAGGACAAGTACCTGTAGAAATGCTTTAAATGCATGTGTGCTTATACTCTGCTACCTATGTCCTTTGAGCTCTTTAACTCATGTTCAAACTTCCAGCATTACTTTAGTTTGATATAAGCCTATATTCGTATCTTGACATTCCAATGTAAATTGCATTCCTCTAGTGTTGACTTTTTGGGTTTTTTTTTTTTTCATTTTTCCATTTATCTTTATAAGTTGCCTTAAATCCATTTTAGGATAAAACTTGGGGGTATCAAATTAATAAAATTGAAGTTGATTTCCTTGGAAGATTTGTGATTACATTGTATGTGGTTTGTGGCATTAAAAGTGTCTTATGTTTCTATTACTTCTATGCTGAGCACTTACAACTTGGAATGATTAGAGCAGGAGATACTGAAACTGCTGGCATCTAGGCCTGTCTGATCACTGAGTGCTTTACTACGCATTAACGTTTTATTGCTAGAAAATTCAGATTGAGCTGGTGTCAACAGCTCATGTCTTTATCCTAGCTGCTCAGGAGGCTGAGACCTGGAGGATTAAGGTTCAAAGCCAGCCCAGACAGAAAATCTGAGGCTCTATCTCCAACATAATCAGCAAAAATTAGACTGGAAGCATAATTCAAGTGGTAGAGCATCAGTGATGAGCAAGAAAGCTGAGCAAGAGTGTAAGGCCTGATTTCCAGCCCTGGTATTGGCAGAAAGAAGGAGAGAAAGAAAGAAAGAGAAAAAGAGAGAGGGAGGAAGGAAGGAAGGAAGGAAGGAAGGAAGGAAGGAAGGAAGGAAGGAAGGAAGGAAGGAAGGAAGGAAGGAAGGAAGGAAGGAAGGAAGGAAGGAAGGGGAAAGAAGGAAGGGGAAAGAAAGAAAGAGAGAAAGAAAGGAGAAAGAAAGAAAGAAAGGAGAGAGAAAGAAAAGGGAAGTTTAAAAGGGAATTTTAGCTATGGGAGGAGGGGGTGAACCATTGAGATATTTATAACATCATTCATAAGTCATACAAAATTACCAATATAGGCAGATAGCATGGATAGCTTAAGGAAAACATAAGAGAAGTATATGTCTATACTATTATATAGCAAATGGCATCTCAAGTTTTATATGGCCCTCAGGCTTTCCCTACCCAACCCCCTTTGGCTATTCTAACTGTAATAGCAAAATAAAATGACATGACATCCAGTTTCATTAAATTATTCCATTATGTCTGCCTTTTTATGTTAAATCTCTTTATGTTAAATACACACATCATAAAATTTACCATCTCACCCTTTTTGTTTCTTTTCACCTTTTTTAGCAATTTTTTTCCTTTTTTTTAAGCAATTCATTGTAGTTGTATGCACACACACACACACACACACACACACACACACACACACACACACACACACAGAGTCCTGGAGGTTAAATTCAGGTCTTGGATTTGTTTTGTTTTGTTTAAGGCTAGTACTCTACCATTTGAGCTTCAGCTTCACTTCCAGCTTTTTGTTGATTTATTGGAGATAAGAGTCTCATGAATGCCAGGCGCTGGTGGCTCACGCCTGTAATCCTAGCTACTCAGGAGGCTGAGATCTGAGGATCGCGGTTCAAAGCCAGCCCAGGCAGGAAAGACCGTGAGACTCCTATCTCCAATAAACTGCCAGAAAACCGGAAGTGGCACTGTAGCTCAAGTGGTAGAGCACTCGCCTTGAGCTGAAGAGCTGAGGGACAGCACTCAGGTCCAGAGTTCAAGCCCCACAACCGACCAAAAAAAAAAAAAGAGACTCATGAACAAGTTCCTGGCCCAGCTGGCTTTAAACTGTGACCTTCAATATCCTGAATAGCTAGGATTATGGTGTGAGATACTAGTACCCGGCTTTGCAACACTTTTTTTAAGAAAGGAAAAGGGAAAGAAGGTAAAGGAGGAAAAGTGTAAATTAGATAGGTGCAAGTATAAGCCAGGGCAGGGAGGACAATGTGATGCAATTACAGGAGAGGGAGGCTATTCAATTTTTTTAATCCAATTTCCAACCTGGTGACTTGGGTCTAAAGTATAGATTACGTGAGAATTGAAGTCTGCATAATATGTCTTCACTAAGCTCCACAGAAGTATTAAATATGGAGTGTGGTTTACAAAGTCAGCCCTATGTCCTTTTCCCAGTCCCCTCAATAGCAAAATTGGCTACAGCCAAGTCTGAGTGATGGAAGCCAGTCCCACTCTGTAAAGGTTAGACCTTTCTGCTCCATGACTTTGGGATCAGCAGCCCAGTCTCCCCAGTTGATGATGTAATTACAGTGGTTCTTGCAGGAGTGAGGGTGTTCGTCTCTTAAATATTTGCAGCTTGAAACAGTTGAAGAAGCTTCAAGAGAACCATGTTAGGCCTTTGAGGCATCTAGAAATTTCATATTGTGCCACCATCATAACCATCCTCCTCAGAACCTACTTCCTTTTGCAAAACTGAAACTGTTTCATTGTTTTCTTTTGAAATAATCCTGGTTCTAGGTGCCTGCAAAACAATAAGATTAGATCTGTGTCTGTGTACGCTTTCCGAGGACTGCTCCGCCTCACTAAACTGTAAGTACCCTAAATACCATATGTGCTCAGTGCCTTGCCAAGCTGTGACCTATGACTGCAGGCCACTCAGGACAGGGCACACAGATGTGCAAACCAAGTTAGCACTGTGTCTGACAGGCGGGCCTGAGAATCAGACGGGCCTTATGGCTCAGCTCTGATTTTATCACCGGAGAGGTAGGTGACTATGAAGAGTTTATTTTCTTTATAAGCACAAGTTCACTATAGTGTGCAATGCAATTTGTATACCTATCTTGAGGTTGTAGGGAACAAATGAGAAAATACTGAGTAGTAGTAGGTGTCTGAACCTGACACATTAGTGATGGTGACAGGAGTGACAACTAAATGAACTTGGTCAAAGTGACAAAGCCTCATGGTATGTTGATGTCGGGGAGGGAGATAGTCTTGCAAGCTGCTGGTGGCTTACACCTATAATTTTAGCTACTCAGAAGGCTGAGATCTGAAGATTGAGGTGCAAATCCAGCTCAGGAAAGAAAGTCTGTGAGACATGTGCCTCCAATTAACCAGCAAAAAGCCAGAAATAAAGCTGTGGCTTAGGTGGTAGACTGTTGGTCTTGAATATAAAAGCTCAGGAACAGTACATGGGTCCTGAGTTCAAGCCCTAGGACTGGCAGAAGAAGAAGAAGAAAAAACATAATCTTTTTTTTACTTTATTTACATTTTAATTTTTATTTTCTTTTAATTTTAATTTTTTGTGAACATACTGTACAGAGGGGTTACAATTACATGGGCAAGATAATGAGTACATTTCTTATCAAGCATTGCAGCCTCCTCCTTTTTTTCCCCTTCACATCTCTTCCCAGCCTCCCCCCGCCCCCCCCCCCACCCAATCCCCCCCTGCCCCTGCACCAAATTGTAAAGTTCGAAAAACATAATCTTGTATGGTGGTACATGCCTGTAATCCTAGACTTAAAAGGCTAAGACAGGAAAAACAAGAGTTAAAAAGTAGCCTGGGCTACATAGGGAGGATCTTACCTAAAATGAAAGGAGAAGAGGGGGAAGGAGGAAGAGAAGGGAAAGGGAAAAGAGAAGGAAGGGGAAGGTGGAGAAGAAAGGGAAGGAGGCAGGAGGGAGGGAAGGAAGAATAAAAGAGAGATAAACCCTGATACCCCTCAGTAGATGAATGGATCAAGAAAATGTGACAGATAGATATATGTATATTTATATATATGTATATTTATATATATGTATATATATACACACACACACACACACACACACACACACATAGAGAGGGAGAGGGGGAGAGAGAGAGAGAGAGAATGATACTGCCCCATTTGTTAGGAAATGGAAAGACTTGGAAAAAATCATATTAAGTGAAATAAGCCAGAGCCAAAGAAACGTAGGTCCCATGGTTTCCCTTGTTTGCAATAATTAATATATGTCTAGGATAATCTTAGAAGATGAGAAGAATAGCTCAATAGCTATGACCATATAAGATGATGCTAAGTGAAATGAACTCCAAGACATGGACACAGATATTTTTCTTTGTTGTTGTTGTTGTTTTTAATATACTATGTGATTTTTTTCTTTGTTTTGTATGTTCTTCCCCCTATGGTATATCCCCTGTTGTCACTGTATTTGATTTTGGTGCCCTAGCATTGTATATATGTTTATTTGAATTAGAGAAGAGAAGGGGAACAACAGAATGGTGAGACAAAGGACAAGGGAGAAACCAATGCAACAGTGATATACACAAGGCAATTTGTTGGAAATGATCTGTACAACTTGGGGGGGGGGTAGGGAAAGGAGGAGAAAAATGAGGGAAGGGTAACAACTTTGACAAGACATGTACTTATTACCTTGCTTATGTAACTGTAACCTCTCTATACATCACCTTGACAATAAAAAAATTAAGTTCAAAAAAGAGAGATAAAAGGGAGTGAGAAATGAAAGAAAAGAAAGGAAGGAGGGAAGGAAGGAAGCAAGCAAGGAAGGAAAGAAGGAAGGAAGGAAGCAAGGAAGGAAGGAAGGAAGATAGGAAGGAAGGAATCTTAAGACTTCCCCAGTTATTTTTGGTTTTGCTTTCCTTTGGTGCAGAGAATGAACTCAAGGTCTCACAGATGCTAAGCAGTACTGAGCACACCCCAATCCCTCAGTTATTATTTGCTCTTTAATCCTGCTTTTACACATAACCTAAAAGTGACCATTCTAGCCAGTTTGAAGGATATAGTCCATTGGCATACAGTGCAATCACAATACTGTGTGACCATCTCCCTCAGAATTTTTCCATCTTCCCCCATAAAAAGGCCAGATATTTTAAGCAATATCTATCCTCCCTGAAGACCAATAACCACTAGTTGGCTTTCTGCTTCTAATGAACCAGTCTAGGAACCTCATGAGAATGAAATAATGCAGCATTTGCCCTTCTGTGTCTTCTTATTTCACTTAGCAGAATATCTTCAATAATATCTTCATTCACATTGTAGCATGTGTCAGAATTCCCTCCTTTTAAGGCAGAACAATATACATGCATTTTGTTTCTTATACATTGATCTGTCTATGACTATTGAGAATAATGCTACTATGAGCATGGGAGAAAAAATATCTCTGCCCAACTCCATTCTGCTTCCAATTCCTTAGTAAAAATCCAGGTATTCAACATTGGGCCATATGGTAATTCTACATGTGATTTGTGTGTGTGTGTGTGTGTGTGTGTGTGTGTGTGTGTGTGTGTGTGTGTGTAAGTACAGGGGCGTACTACCACTTGAGACAAGCTCTACTTCCAGTTCTTTGTTTGTTAATTGGAGATAAAAGTCTCATGGATTTTCCTACCTGGACTAGTTGTTGTCCACAATCCTCAGATCTCACCCTCCTGAGTAGCTAGAGTTACTGGTGTGAGCCATCAGTGCCCAGATTAGATTTTTTTTTCTTTTTTTTTGAGGATTGTCATACTGTTTTCCATACCAGCTCCCCATTTTCATTTCCGGACAATGAAAAACAGGTCCAATTTTACTACATCCCAACGAATACTTGTTATTTTCTGGTTTGGGTTTCATTTGTTTTTATTTTTATTTTTTTGTCGGCCATGGGGCTTCAAATAGGCCTGCGCACTATACCTGAGCTCTTCAGCTCAAGGCAAGCACTCTACCACTTGAGCCACAGCACCACTTCCTGTTTTCTGGTGGTTAATTAGAGATAAGAGTTTCACAGACTTTCCTGCCCAGGCTGGCTTTGAACCATGATCCCCAGATCTCAGCCTCCTGAGTAGCTAGGATTACAGACATGAGCCACAAGTGCCTGGCTCATTTGTTTTTTATAATAACTCCATTAATAGGTGCAAAATGTTATTTTATTTTGTTTAAGAGTAAGGCTTTTTGCAATAGACTTTTAGTGATTCATCCACTTCATTTCCAGATAGCCCTCAGAAGTAAATATTATCAAAAATCAGAGAAATGAATAACTTTATTTCCACTTCTATTTATTTTTATTCTATCCCACTCTCTATCCTAGCCTAATGAACTCCTTTCCATCAGATTTCCGGTTTATAATACCAGTTTAGCATTGAGTCAATTGCTAAAAAGTCCACAAGGAGACTAGAAGCTTAACAGTGGCCACTTCAGCCTTTCCCTCTTCCTCCTACCCCATCCCTGCTCTTCTGTATTTTAACAAAACCAAAGTCATTGGGAGACTCATTCTCATTAGGCTCCTGCCTGCTCCATAGATCCACTCAAAATCTACTGAAAAGTATCAGCTTGAGTGGATGTTCATTGGTGTGAAGGAAGCTCTTGAAAAGCAGTGCTGAAGCGCAGAGCAGATTAAAAAGGGTCCTCAATGGAACATTTTATGGGTGTTAAAGTTGCCACATATCTCTAGTTTTTGCATAGATAGCTATTAAATGTTTGTTCTCCCTTCGTCCATAATTGTTCATTAACTGTTAAGAGCGTGCATGTCTTCAAATAGAACTATGAGGCATAGGAAGATGAATGAGACTTTAAGGAGTTGCAGAGTACAGGGCTACAGTGGGAAAAGGTAAGTCTTCCCTGGCTAGAGGCTATCATCTAAGCTGAAAAAAACAATGCCAATATACACAAGAATTAGACAACAAGAAGGAGAGTGCTGATATTCGAAATCTGTGTTGCTCAATCAAACTGTGATAAGGAATTAAATGGCCAAGTGTAATGGCTCACAATTGTAATCCCAGCCACTCAGTAAGTAAAGGTAATGAAGATCACAGTTTGAGGTGAGCCCAGGCAAAAAAAAAAGTCTAAGACCCATCTAAAAAATAACCAAAGCAATTGCCATCAAGATGCAAAGAGGAGAGGGATAGATGAAAGAAGGGAGAAGCAGGTATAGGGAGAATGCTTTCAAGAATTTATTTTATATACATAAAATTAAGAAAAGTAAGGGAGGGGGTAGATCAAAGGAGAGTGAGAATGTTGAAGGAGGTGACACTGATCACACAGGACTAGACAGGAGCACACAAGGAGCAAGAGTGAAGGAATTGCCTTTTACATGGAGAGATGGTGATTGGTTTATGAGAGACACCTGAGGTGTTCAGGGGAGGTATTAAAGCTATTTCTTGCTACATCCTGTAAATACCTGGACTCCAGGTCTGTATAGGAGAAAAGGAAGCATTTGAACCAGATAATGTCCAAGAAAATGTCAAACTTAACAAAAGAGGGCAGATTCCCAGTAGAAATTTTACAGGCTATCAATAATAAGCTATATAAGAGTGGAAGAAAAGAGGGATTGGCCATTTGTTAGGAAATGGAAAGGCTTGGAAAAAATTATATGAAGTGAAGTAAGCCAAGCCCAAAGAAACATAGGTCCCATGGTTTCCCTTATTTGCAATATCTAGTATATGTATGAGTTAAGCAGAAAAGGTCAGACAATGTGATGTTAGGAAAATGAACCCTTAGATATGTATTTTAATGTTTTTTTCTTTCATGCATTTGTTTCTAACGCATTTATAAGATTATTTCTTTGTTGCTTTGTATATCCTTCCCCCACAGTATAACCCCTGCTTTCACTATATTTGATGTTGGTGTAATTTGTGGAGGAGATGGGGAAAAACAAGTCGTTTAAGGATACAGGTGGGAAAAAAAAAAAAGGATACAGGTGGACCCATTGCAACAATGAGAAGTACAAGTTGTCATGTCGAAAACGAACTTTACAACTTTGGTGCTGGTGGGGAGGGGGGGGGCGGGGAGAATTGGGTGAGGGGGGAGAATTGGGTGAGGGGGGAGGCTGGGAAGGGATGTGAAGGGTAAACAAAGGAGGGGGCTGCAATGCTTGATAAGAAATGTACTCATTATCTTGCCCATGTAATTGTAACCCCTCTGTACAGTATGTTCACAAAATATAAAAAGAAAAGAAAAGAGAGGTTGGGAATGTGGCTTAGTGGTAGAGTGCTTGCCTACCATTCATGAAGCGCCCTGGGTTCGATTCCTCAGCAACACATAAACACAAAAAGCCAGAAGTGGTGCTGTGGCTCAAGTGGTAGAGTGCTAGCCTTGAGAGAAACTCAGGGACAGTGCCCAAGCCCCAAGCCTGAAAAAAAAAAAGAGTGAAAGAAAGAGAACTCACTGTGTTGCATGTATCATTGGAAGAGAAATATGAACCTATACTTGCCAGTGAATCATAGGCAGGGAGGAGAAAAGAAGAAGAAGGAAATCTGGGTGGGAGAGCTGAGAAGAACAACTATTTTAATTGCTAGGCAGGCATTATACCACATGAGCCACTTCACAACCCGAACCACTATTTTAGTCAACAATGCGTACAGAATGCCTGTGGCATGCCTTATCTGCAAAACTCCAAAGCCCTAGGAAGGAACTGTTGATTTGCTCACTTTAGAGCTCAGAAAGCTGAGGCTTACAGGAATCTGTTGCTTGTTCAAGGTCATGTCCTTACTAAATAATCACTTAAAGCACATTTCATTCAGAGAATTACTTCCCGAAAGAGACTGAGATAGAAATGAGTGTGGCAGAAAGAGTTCAACACAAAAAGGCAGAGTCACACTTCTTAATGAAGCAGGCATAGTCGAAAAACGAACTTTACAATTTAGGCAGGGGTTGGGGGGAGTGTATTTGTGGAGATGGGAGGGAAGGGATGATAGGGGAAAAACAAAGGAGGAGGGATAAGAAACGTACTCATTAGCTTGCTCGTGTAACTGTCACCCCTCTGTACAGTATTTTCACAATAAAAAAAAAAAACTTATTAAAAACAAAAATAAAAAGAAAGCAAGCAATGGCTGCTTTCCAGAACAGGCTCCTGTCTGAGTCCCAGGTTCATGTCCTTTCTCTCCTGGTAGTCCCCAAGATAGGAGTTCTCACTAAATTATCTGGTGGTCCCTTATCTTCTTTCTTGTCCTTGCTTTTGCAAAAGTTATTTCTGCTGCCTATTCTTTGTTTTGTGAATGCCATGGCTTTACTAATAAGACATTTCTAAATTGTGACTTTTCTGCCTCCTCTGTCCCTGTACTCCACAGGCCCCATCCCAGGAAACTGGCTTTGCAATGTAAAACAACCACTCTCTACACACTCTCTGTTTTCTGAATGTTGCCTATTCCTATCTGTTCTCTGGATTCAAATCCTCTCAAAGAAAGGGAGGGCAGGGCCAGCTATTCTGTAGTTCTCACTCATTAATACAAAATACCAGAGATTATTATAATGAGAAAAGGGTTATTTTAGTAAGGTTTAGATGCTCCTGTTTGTGGTAGACTGGCCTATGGTAAGGTAGCACATTATTCAAAATCATGTGGCTGAGCAAAATCTATTACAGTCCCCCACCAAGAGCACATCTCCATTGGCATCAGGGCCTCCCATGGGCTGCTCCTCAGAAACACAGCACCTCCCAATAGTGTCTCCCTTTAACATAAGGACCATTGAGGGCACTTCTGCAAACCAAACCAGTAGAGATTAGGTACTCAATAGATTGATGAATCTGTTAATTATGGGAAAATTAGAAGCTAGATGGGAGGGAGGGATGGGAGAAAATGGTGACTGACATCTGTCAAGTTGCACTGTACTTATAAACTAATTTGTTGAATGGTAACCTTTCTACAACTCTTAAAGATAATAAAAATATCTTTGTTTGAAAAAAAAAAGCTACATATGAGCTGGGTGTTTGTGTCTCATGCTTGTTATCCTAGCTACTCAGGAGGCTCACACACACACACACACACACACACACACACACACACATACACACACACATACATGTGTATGTGCACACATGCACATGCATGTACTATATATGATAATGTAACTGACAGACACTTTTGAAGATTCCAAGGAAGGGAGATGGCATGATGAGAATAGCACATAAAACTTTCATGATTATTGTTGTCTTTCCTTTGTTGTAAAGCAGCCAAGGTACAAACTTATGGCAATCATTTTTCCTTTTCCAGGTATCTCAGTCATAACAGAATAACCTTCTTGAAGCCAGGCATTTTTGAAGACCTTCACAGACTAGAGTGGCTGTATGACTAATTTATTTGACATTTTGTGGTATTTATTTTTGTGTTCTAAAACTATATAAGTGAATCCACTGTTTTTCTCCTGGCTGACAGGATAATTGAAGATAATCACCTCAGCCGAATTTCTCCAGTAACATTTTATGGACTAAATTCTCTAATTCTCTTGTAAGTACTACTAAAAATAAAGCAAACATCTCAATTGAGGAATTAAAAATTAATATTATATAGTCATAATAGCATAAGCTTGGATTTATTAAAACTCCAAGAAGGCTTTTTCTTGAACTAAAATCCATCTCCTAATCACATTCTCCAGGACTATTATAGTTCTAACAATTTTAGACTATGCTCTGCCTTCAAGAACACCAACCTATCAAAAGTGAATGGAGTCTCACTGTCAGGCTATAGTGAATTACCCTTCATCACACTATTACTACTGCTCTGCATTAATTATGGTAGAGAAAAGAGCATTTAAAGTCAATGCCTGACACAACTCACTGTGGGTGACACAGCCTGGGTTCAGCCACTGACAGTGCTGTTCCCTCTATGTGTAACTGATGGCCATAGTAATTTTATTACCACCAAAAACTTAAACATAAAAAGATGTACAGGGGAAAATTAGAGGGAGACAGCAACTAATCTAGTAGATTTCCATGTCTCATAGTTATAATAGTTATACCACATATGACTTAGAATGGGAAAAGAACTAGAAAAATACTACTTCTTGTTTTTTCTTTTTAGGGTACTGATGAATAATGTCCTCACCCAATTACCTGATAAGCCTCTCTGTCAGCACATGCCCAGGCTGCACTGGCTGTAAGTTATTAGATTGTGTGTGTGTGAGAGTGTGTGTGTGTGTGTGTGTGTGTGTGTGTAAAGAAGTAATTAAAGTCAAGTACCAGTGGCTCACACCAGTAGTCCTAACTACTCAGGAGGCTGAGATTTGAGGATCACAGCTTAAAGCCAGTACAGGCAGTAAAAAGTCCATGAAACTCTATCTCCAATTAACCACCAAAAAGCATGAAGTAGAGCTGTGGCTAGAGTGCTAACATTGAAAAAAAGAAAAAACTCAGGGACAGAACCCAAGTCATGAGCTCAGTATCATATCATATATCTTTACCTAACTTTCACACATCCTTATATTAAGCATCTTTATTATTTTACTTCCGTAAACTACCAAAGTAAATTATCTCAAAGAAAAATCTTTTAGAACCAAAAAGAAGAAAGGCAGAATGGATGACATGGGTCCCGTTTAGCACTCTCCCTTTCCCTGACAATCTACTCACCTAGTGTGTTTCTAAGACACTTTAATTTCATCCTAAACTCTGAGTAATGAAAATGATACTTCATCCTATTTTCAAATGGATAACAAAATAAAGTTCATTCCATGGCACTGACAATCTATTCATCTGTTACAATGATAAGTTGTTTGAATTTAATTCCCAAATTCTGAATGATAAAAATGATACTTAGTGCTTAAAAGAATAGTTATAATGACATATATTTTGTAAAATATATTTTACAAAGTTTTACTCTTACAGAGTAACTTTGTTTACAGTAATAATTATTACCCAATTATCCAGTAAATGTGTCTATTTAGAAGAAGGAAGGAAGGAAGGAAGGAAGGAAGGAAGGAAGGAACGAAGGAACGAAGGAAGGGAGAGAGCAAGCTAAAATGCCTATTCCAAAGTTCGATCAACAAACTACATATCATGATCTTATGAAAACTCCCTCTGCCTCTGGTTTTATGAGGAATTTTCAAAAGTTCACAGCAATGACAAAAGGACAGGAAAAAGTCAGAAATGTTGCGTGTAGTTTAAAATGACAATTATCAACTCAGTTCAAAGCCCAACTGAAAAAGGTCATAAGAAGCAAAGATAATTATTCAAATTATACTTATTTGTAATCCTAGGGAAAACAAGACATTTCAAAAATGATTAGTGGATCCAGGAAATACCTGGTATGACTGCTCAGTACTCTCTGGTATCTAGTAGAGTACAGTATCAGCCAGTACCACCCAGGCCTACCCACTTTGTAATGAAGCCCAAATACTCAGTACTTGCAGAAGGGAATTAACAATCTCATCTTAGGGTATTGAGGGCCTGGGGAAGGCTGGAATAGATGCTGGCTTTGCAGGATTTGATCACCAGCACCAAAAAAATAAAAAGTGCACCAAGATGAGAAGCAAAAGTGAGAGGTGTTGTGCACATGCACTAAAACATCATTGCTTTGTTTGTTTTGGTTGGTTTTGGGTTTTTTGTGCTGGTACACAGACTTTTATACCTGGGCTACCTTCAAACTTTGATCCTCTGATCTCAGCCTCTTGAATAGCTAGAGTTACAGGCATGAGCCACCAGCACCTAGCTCCTTTGTTTTGAAAAAGGGTGCAAACTGTATAATATATGCCAGATAAAATTCAAATGATTACTAGTTATTAGTAAAACAATTATTTTTTAATTATATTATCTTTAAAATTTAGCTATCAAAAACAACTGATTCCATAGGAATTCCTGGTGGTGAGAAACATCCTAATTTTAGTGCTAGTAGTAATGCTTTGCTGTGTAAGTATTCATCTCTTTTAAACTTCATTACAATATCATTAGCAGGTTAACTTCAACTTAGCAATGGCTTGGAAGGTGGTAGAGTGTTTGCCTTGCATGCATGAGACTCTGGGTTCGATTCCTCAGCACCACATAAGCAGAAAAGGCCGGAAGTGGCGCTGTAGCCCAAGTGGTAGAGCGCTAGCCTTGAGCTGAGGAGCTCAGGGATAGAAGCCAGGCCCAGAGTTCAGGACTGAGGACTGACCAATAAATAAATAAATAAAGCATATAGAATTTTTTTTAAAAAATACCAAAATGTGAACTACAAAATCAGATTCATGAGCCAAAAATTTTCACAGGGAAAATGCATATAAAATTTAAAAACATATGATAGTCCAAAACACTCTTTGCATTATTTCATAATAATGATAGAAAATAGATAAAACCTTCAATATAGTTTTTTTTCAAAGCAATAAGAAAACTGAAAATGTCACAATAAAAGTTGGAAAATTCAAAAAGAAAAACAGATCATTAATAAAAAAGTAGATAAACATAGAGCAATGGCCAGTTCCTTCTCAAAGGTCAAAGGAGTAAAAGTATATTTTTATAGAAAGGTGAAACTAAGACAAGCTAATTTGTGGACAGAATAAGTCAATATGAAGAATTTCAAAATATAGACATCAGTAGGGTCACCACACTGTAAACAAGATACCAAAAGATATAGAAATGAATGGAAAATAAAATGTGACACATAAAAGCAGTGCAAATGATTGAGCTGACACTACTTCAATCAATGTGACTCAATTGCAAGAAAAACTCACAGAAGAGTGCATATATTTCAATTCTAATTTAGCTGAAGCTTGCTTATGGTATAGAAAGCCACGAGACAATATTGCTCCCTCTTTCTCAAATTTAAATCTACAAAACCCTGATGTGGGGGAAACCATCTGAGAGCTGGCTACAGTCACGAGACATCCAAGTGAATGTAATTGTAAGGAGTGACACACGAGCAGGGCAGATACACATATCACCTTTGTCAGAGATTACAGGTGAGAAATCGACTGTCGTGAAAGAAGGGATGGATTAAAAATGCTAAGATTTGAATAGCTGTGTAAAGTTAAGTGTGAGCTAGTATAGCACTTCAGAATAACCTGTATCCCACACTCCACAGGACACACCTCCCTAACAAGCTGCCTTTCTCTGCCTCCACCAGCTCATACAAAAAACTAGATAGGTAAAGAGAGCAGAGAATCCTCCTTGATAACACACAGATGTGAAATGTCTGCCCCAGGCTCCTCCTCCTTCAAAAGCAAAAGTCCTGGAAGAGACAGGAAAAGCCTCAGGACTGGAAGCTAGACAAAGACCCACTGTTTCCAGAGGAGAGAGTCACACTACAGTACATCATCCCAGGGGAAGTAGAGACATCTCCGCTGTCCAAGATCCTGCATTGACCCAAAGCAGAGGTAGCATCCTCTTAGGCCAGGGCCACAAAATGTTAGTCAGCATCCTGTCACTGTAACAAAATATCTGACAAAATCAACTTATGAGGAGACATGGTTTATTTGCCTCATAATTTAGAGGTTTCAATCTATAATTAGTTGACTCTCTTGCTTCTTCATGGCTGGAAGAGAGAGAGAAGAAAGCAGAAGAGGCCAGATCCCGATATTTCTTCAAGAACACCTACTCTTGTAACCCAACTTCCTTCCACTATTTACACACCTTGAAGGGTCTCCCAATAATGCCATAGGCTGTGCCCACATCTTTAACACATAGGCCTTGAGGGAACATTTATCCAAGATTCAGCCCTGTGTTAGTGACTTCTGAAGAAAGAGAGCAAACAATTCTGAAAAAAGGCCCACCTCTAGAAATGAAAGGAGAAAAAGGTCCCATGTCAAAGTAGAAAGCCATGAGCATAACCAGACCTAGTAGTGGTCTATATGTTAGAACTTCCAAGCAGGGGTATTAAACTGCTGGGTTATGATTTAAGTGACACAGTAGGAAGTTGAACAATGTTATGAAATTGTCATCAAAGAGAGGAAATTATAAAAGTGAATCTAAAGACTGAAACCGCTTTATCCATAGAGTAGTGATGAGGAAATAATTGATGGCCTTGAAAAATAGGCCGATAGAAAGCTTTCAAGCTGAAACAAGAAAAGCAAAAAGTTAAATAAAGACAAAAAAAAAAGACCAAAAAAAGTGGCAGGATAACATAGTGCTCTAACTAAACTGTGAGTGGAGTGACAAAAAATAACAAAAAAAAAAAAATAAAGGAAGAGCAAAATAAAAGAAATGTATAAAGAAACAATGGCCAACTTTTTCTAAAATTAGCATAATATAACAGACTAGGGAAAAAAACAGACAAATCATAAACTAGTAAAAAGCAAAGATTAAGAAAAGATCCATAAAGCAAATAGGAAAACTAGAAATATTACATTAAGTAAAATAAAGATAGAAATGTGACACTATTTTTTCCTCAGGCTTATTTTATTTCACAGGATATCTTCCAGTCCCATTCATTTTGCTGCGAATAACAGAATTCTGCTCTAGTTTTTTGGCTGGATAATACTCCATTTTTATATATGTATGTAAATATATAGGATATACATATATATGTGTGTGACTATTTAAGGTATATATGTATATATGTAAATATATAGGGTATACGTATAAAAAGCATTATATTTATTCATCAAATCTGTTGACAAACACCTAGACTAGTTTTCTATCTTAGATATCATCATAAAATTATATTATGGAAGAGAAGTATAGGCGCAGAAAAGAAGAAAACATATACTAATTTTAGCATCTCTAGTAATAGGAAATTAAATAGTATTGTGAAAGAAAGAGAAGATAAAGTGCATTAGGAAAAGTTACTATAATAGTAGACAACAGCCGGCGCCGGTGGCTCACACCTGTAATCCTAGCTACTCAGGAGGCTGAGATCTGAGGATCACAGTTCAGAGCCAGCCTGGGCAGGAAAGTTGTAAGACTCTTATCTCCAATAACCCACTAGAAAACCTGAAGTAGCACTGCCAGTAGAGTGCTCACCTTAAGCTGAAGAGCTGAGGCACAGCACCCAGAGTTCAAGCCCCATGACCAACAACAACAACAACAACAAAGTAGACAACAGAATTTATAAATATCATTTTTAAATATTAGAAAAAATATCTTTTTTTAAAAAAATAGTGAGCCAGACACCAGTAGCTTCTACCTTTTTTCTTAGCTACTCAGGAGGCTAAGACCTGGGAGATGGAGATAAGAAGTCAATTTGGTCAGAAGAGTCTTGAGAGACTCCACCTCCATTAACTAACAACAACAACAAAAAAAAAAAAAATGGGCTCAAGTGCTATAATATAAACCATAAGCAAGAAAGCTGAGCAAGTCACCCAGCCCTAAATTCAAGGCCTGGAATCAGAAAAGGATAAAAGAAAAAAAGATTGATGGAAGTGAGTTAAACATCTGAAATCATATAATATTATTTTAAAATATCAAACTAAGGACAATTATAATAGTCAGTTTGGTAAACCCATTTAAAAGAAAAGAAGCTCAGTGTAATGGTACATGGCTGTAATCCTAGGACTTGAAAATAAGGTGGGATTTCAAGCCCAGGCTGCACAGATAATTTGAATCCAGCTTGGGCTGCACAGAACAAACAAGAGGCTCTCATTAGACCCTGTATATAGCTCGTTTTTTTCTCTATTTTTTTTCTTTCTTCATTTCTCTTAGCTTTTTGTACCTCATGTTTTGCATAATAGACAATGTAATATGTGAAAGGGAAAGGGAATCACAGAAACAGCAGGATGAACCGCAGCAACATTCATACTTACTTGACACTATGTGGGATATGACCATTACAACTTGGAAGGGGGAATAGGGAGAGGTAAGTGGAAGATAAAGATGACTAAAAACAAATGTACTTATTGTTTTACCTATGTAATTGTAACCTCCCCAGCTCATTACTGGTTCAATTAAAAAACTTTAAAAAAAACAAAGAGGAAAGGCTCAGCATGACCATGCACCAATGGTTCATGCCTACAATCGTAGCTACTCAGAAGGCTGAGATCTGAGGGTCATGGTACAAAGCCAGCCCAGAAAAGTCTCTGAGACTCTTACCTCCAATGAACCATCTGAAAACCAGAAGTGGAGCTATGGCTCAAAGTGGTAGAGTGTTAACCTTGAGCAAGCTCAGGAGGAAGAGGAGACAAGCATCTACAGACAGCTAAGCACATAGATGAGCAGAAGTCAGAGGCTTTCTCTCCTCTGTTATCTCAATTTTCTCTGGAAATGGGAGCCAGATATATTAAAAGGTATGAGAGAAAAACACAGCTAAAAAGTTCCAGGTTTTAGATTGTCATTGGGAGATGAGATAGAAAGTTGAGGGGAAACAGACAAGATTACTGGAGAGTTTGTTTTTTTGTGTGATTTTTTTTTCTTCCAAATTAAAGATGAAATTTTCATTTGCATATAGTTCTGCCATATGTGGAAAAATAAAATGGTTGGCTCAGAGTAGGAAAAGTAGTGGTCTAGATTCATAATAAGAAGAAAAAACTTGTTTTTCTAAAAGCTTGGAGTTGGAGAGAAAGAAGTCATTATCTTTTGTTACTCTTTTTGTCATGGTAGTGGTGGTTGGTTTGATTAATAGGTACTTTATAAACCAGATATTTGTGTTTACAACTCAAAGAAAATTGTTGATTTAATCAAAGTCTCTAATTTGTGTCTTAGTCTGTGCCCTTTACTGTTTTGTGCAAGTAGTTTGGGGTGCTTTGGTTTTTTTGTCAACTTAATAGCAAAATGGCATATGCAGCAAAACTTTTTAGCATTTTTCTGATGCTTAGGAGAACACTGCCACCTGGTGGTACAATTGTGGTACTGGCTAACCATAAAATATTAGAAGAAAATAGTTTATGGTTCACAACAGTCAGAGGCCAAAAACCTGGGACAAACCTAAGACCAAAGAACTAGTGCTTCCAGTGCTTTGCTGCCACTTTGGTAGAATAATAAAAAATTTTCTTTAGAAGAGTGCTGTGGAATCTAAAAAAAAGTCTAGATATAGTACACAAACTTTGTTACATATTATGCTAATAGAATGCTTATTGTCTGGATACTATAGATTGCTAGAAAAGTGTGGCTTCAATTTGAAATGGTCTATTCATGTCTTTCAAATAGATTATTAATTCAGATGCAACAAAGAAACCCTAATATATACTAGAGCCTCACTTCCCATATGTTGTTCCTCATTGATGTAAATATACCCTTCTCATCAATTTACTCTATTTCTCTGTTCTCCAATCCAGGATGTCCAAGTCTTCTAGATGTGCTTTTCTTTCTCATGGTCTATTTTAAATGCAGCCCCAAAACAATGCTGTCTCATCTGTCACCTATCCAGTAGAATGTGTGGAATTTCAGGAAATTGTTACTAAAAAGAAAGAGGTAGCTCCTTTCTTTTCCTTCCTTATCTAGAAAAATTGAAGATGAAGGCTCACCTAAGCTCTAGCAAAAACCATAGAAACAAAGAAAGGTATGTGAACAATGAATAGGAAAGGCCTTCGGTTTCTTACACAGCAGCATTGCTGTGAATGCTACCCAGGTTTCCTCACATACTTTAGTGCTATGCCACACTTGTTCGTCTGCATTGAGTCACAGGTGTTCCTGAATAGCATTATGCTACACAGAAACCAATAAATTAAATGTTGACATATATTGAGGTTGAAGGGTCAGCTTTTACTTTTGAAAACTGCAACATGCCCCTAAACCTCAGCTAACTTCTCTAAAAACTTTCACCATGGATGGACCTGTTGCAACAATGAGAAGTACAAATTGTCATGTCAAAAACGAGCTTTACAATGTCGGGGGGGGGGGGGGGGGGGGGGGGGGGGGGGGGAAGAGGGGAAGGATTGGGTGCGGGGGAGGAGAGAGGCGGGGAGGGGGAGGCTGGGAGGGGGTGAAGGGTAAACAAAGGAGGAGGCTGCAATGCTTGGTAAGAAATGTATGCATTATCCTGCCCATGTAATTGTAACCCCTCTGTACAGTATGTTCACAAATAAAATTAAAAAAAAACTTTCACCATGGAGATACTTATAAAATGAAAGAAAGAAGGAAATCACAATTTGAGCAGGGTATGCCTGAATGATGGAGCCCTTGCCCAGCATGAGTGAAGCTCTAGGTTTGTTTCCTTCATGATGATGATGAATAAAACATTGTGTGTATATGTGTGTGTGTGTGTGTGTGTGTGTGTGTGTGTGTGTGTGAGAGAGAGAGAGAGAGTGTGTGTGTGTGTGTGTGTGTGTGTGTGTGTGTGTGTGTGTGCTCGTCCTGAGGCTTGAACTCAGGGCTTGGGTGCTGTCTCTGAGGTTTACCACTTGAGTCACAAGTTCCTCTTCCAGCTTTTTGGTGGTTAATTGGACATAAGAGACTCATGAATTTTCCTACCCTGCCTTCAGCCTCCTGAGAGTAGCTAGGATTACAGGCATGAGCCACAGGGGCCCAGCTTAGTTTTGATAAATATTGATACACAGACCAGACTTGGTGACACAGCAGCACACAGTAAAAGAACTCAAGGAGGAATGTGTGTGTAGAGGGCCAAGGTGTGCATGCGTATGTGAGTACAGGTATGAATGAGTCTTATATAAAAAGTTAACAATGTGAAGCAAAGCTATTTTACTAGATGGCAAATAATTCTTAGCCAATTTATTTCTGTCTGTGATTACAATTTATCTTGATCATGTTTTATTTTTATGTTCTAGGGATTTTGAAGGCAACCATATCCATACTTTAAGAAATTTGACTTTTAATTCCTGCAGTAATTTAACTGTTTTGTAAGTAATACTTTATTCATTTGATGTAATATCCTATCTACTTCCAGGACAAATGCATGTTTTATGTGGATAGAAGGCTGCCTAAGTATGTGTAGGAGTAGAAATATATGATTCATTTTCTCACCCATGGTACACATTATGGCCAACACTCCTACAGCAAAACATAGGTCAACAAGAGAAAAGCATATATTGATTTGTTCAATGTAAGTGGCACAGAAGATTCAGAAATGAAGACCAGGTACTGGAGGGTGTGGCTCAAGTGGTAGAATACCTATGTGGAAATAAAGAGCAAAAGACCCAGGGAAATTGTATTTTTATTTACGTATTTTTTTGTCGGTCATGGGGCTTGAACTCTGGGCCTGAGTGCTATCCTTCATCTCTTCAGCTCAAGGCTAGCACTCTACCACTTGAGCTACAACACCATTTCTGGTTTTCTGGTGATTTATTGGAGATAAGGGCTGGCTTTGAAACCACAATCCTCAGACCTCAGCCTCCTGAGTAGCTAGGATTACAGGCACGAGCCACCGGCACCTGGCGGAAATTGTATATTTTTATGCTTAGGTTCTATGAAGGCTGGACAGCCATGTAGAAATCCAATGGGATAGGATCTTAACCTATGGCCTATGGTAATAAGAGAGGAAAAACTTGTTCAGATGCTTTTTGTTCTACAGATGTGACATTCCTTCCTCTCTGATTTGGGGCAGGCTCCTTCCTGGAGTGTCTTATGGTTTATTGTCAGACAAGGAAAGTTGCCTCATTCACAGATTTCATGGATGGTTCTGGGCAGAATGGTTTTTGTTTCTATAGGTTCCCTTGAGGGAGAAAAATGAGCAGAAGGGGAGAGAGATCATTCTTGTAAGTCCTTTTTGTGTCTCTCAGTTCAAAATACCCAGCACATCAAGGTACTCACACACACACACACACACACACACACACACACACACACACACACACACAGATTGTGGCAAATGTTTGTTATACCATGGGGGAAGAACATACAAAAGAAACAAAAAAAAATCACATAGTACATTTTAAATATATTAAAAACAATAGCAAGAAAGAAAAAAACTAGTTGTGTCCCTATCTTGAGGTTCATTTCACTTAATATTATCTTATATGGTCATATATACATAGCCTTTGACCTTTTCTGCTTGTCCTAGACTTAAGGCTATACTAAAGCTACTAGCACAACTATGTTTATCACAGCATTATTTACCATAGCTAAGATATGGAACCAACCCAGATGGCCCTCAGTAGCTGAATGGATCAAGAAAATGTGTGTGTGTGTGTGTGCGTGTGTGTATGTATACACATACATATACACTGGAATTCTATACCTCCATCAGAAAGAATGATATCGCCCCATTTGTTAGGAAATGGAAAGACTTGGAAAAATTATATTAAGTGAAGTAAGCCAAGCCCAAAGAAATATAAGTCCCATGCAATAAATGCATTTATTTTTAACAAAACTTCTGTATGAAGAAGTTTGTGAGTCTCCTCCTGGCAGATGTTTGCATTTTTTCCATATGAGGTACTAGGAGAATGTGGTAATGGTTTGGACTTCTAGGAGAACTTAAACACTTAAGGATGGGACCAGTTCAAGTTGAAGACATATTACACACAATGTTCAAAAAATTGGAAACTCTCTGAAAATTTCCTGAGTTTATTCTTTATGCTGATAACATGAGCTTCTTGCTGAAGTGAACTACCAATTAGCTGTCAGTGTGCTTTCGTGATAAAGTGTGTATTTCCCATGTGTGAGGCCCTGGGTTCAATCTTCATCACCACAGGTAAAAAAAAAAAAAAAAAAACGCTGTCAGGAGCTACAGTCTGACTCGATATCCCCAAAATAAAGACTCTTCTGAATTGTCCAGCTTAGCTCTTTCTTTCTTAGCCAGCTCTACTCTAAATCCCATCAACTACCACATGGGTAAAAGTGCTGTGACACAAGGGGAACTGTGATAAACAGGCATGATTTGCAGAGTAAACACATAGTCTACATGTTCTTTATACTCTTGGTGGGAAGATATTAAATCTGTATTGTTTCCCTGTATCCTTTTCAGAGCTCTTTTTGAATTGTAGCCAGGCAGTGATGGCCCATTCCTGTGATCCGAGCTACTGAGAAAACTTAGATCTGAGGACCACCGTGCAAAGCCCATTTTGGGCAGATAAATCCAGAATACTTTTATTTCCAATTAAACAGCAAAAAGCTAGAACTTTAGGTAGGGCTCCAGTGGTGGAGTACTAGTTATAAGCATAAAATTTGAGTGATTACACTAGACCCTGAGTTCAAGTCCCAGGATACACACACATACAAACACACTTTACTTGTGTTTTATTTCTACTGTCATTAAAAGATTTACAAAATTTGAGAATAAAATTTACTTGAAGCTAGGTATGATAGAACATACCTATGAATCCTATACTCCGGAGACTGAGGCAGAAAGATTGTAGGTTTGAGGCTACCTGGGTTACATAGCAAGATTCTTTTCCAAAAAAATTAATAATTGAATTGGATAATCCATCATTTTCTTTCAAAATATCTTGATGTGAAAATACATTCTATATTAATTATTTTTGCCTTTGCAGGCTGTTAATCTCTTAGTAATTCAAGTGCTAGTTGCCTTTTCTTTTTACTTGCAGGGTAATGAGGAAAAATAAAATTAACAACCTAAATGAAAATACTTTTGCACACCTCCAGAAACTAGATGAACTGTAAGTTTGACTAAATATATATCGTTGGGAATTTTGTTTCTATTGTTTATTTTATATTTGTTATAGGTGTTTATATATTTAATAAGTATTAATATCCTCTTTCAAACATTATTTATATTTACCTTAGGTCACAAAAGAATTCAGGTAGTTTACAAAAATAAACACAAGATAAATGAAATAAACGCTTGAAACAACTGGAATAAAGGGACCATAGCTCCAGAGAAAATAAAGTCAGGGTAAAAGTAGTAAATAATATCCTATACCGCTCTATTCTATTGCTCCAAAGGTACAAAAAGATGGTCTTCATGTTTCCCAGAGGACCACACAACTTAAAGTCAACATTTTGTTGTTGCTGAAACCAGGATCCACATGATGTGATAGGTCACATCCCTAATGTATAATAATAGAAGCAAGAAATAAATTAACACTAGCTATTATATTATGTCTCTTCTTGAATATCAATTCCAAGTGTATTAAAACAATTCTAAAATGAGTGGAAGCCTTATGGACTGAGCACATTGAATTAAATAGATGATAGACATGAAACAATGAAATATATACACCTCAGGTAATTGTTAGCATCAATTTTCTGGAAAGGATTTGGAGAGTGGAGACATCTACATGTTCTGACAATTATCTAGGCTGAACTATTTATTTAAACTTTTGTATAAAAAACTAAATAAGCCGGGCACTGCTGGCTCACACCTGGAATCCTAGCTACTCATCCTAGCTACTCAGGAGACTGAGATTCAAGAATCACAGTTCAAAGCCAGTCCAAGCAGGCAGAAAGCCTGAAACTCTTATCTCCAATTAACAACCAGAAAACCAGAATTGATGCTGTGGTTCAAAGCGGTAGAGCACTAGCCTTGAACAAAAAGAGCTCAGTGACGGTGCCCAGACCCTGAGTTCAAGCCTCACAACTGACAACAACAACAACAAAAAAAAAAAAAAAACTAAAGAATGCAAGCTGAAGCCGGGCGCAGGTGGCTCATGCCTGTAATCCTAGCTACTCAGGAGGCTGAGATCTGAGGATCGCGGTTCAAAGCCAGCCCGGGCAGGAAACTCCGTGAAACTCTTATCTCCAATAAACCGCCAGAAAACCGGAAGTGGTGCTATAGCTCAAGTGGTAAGGCGCTAGCCTTGAGCTGAAGAGCTGAGGGACAGCGCTAAGGCCCAGAGTTCAAGGCCCAAGACCGACAAAAAAAAAAAAAAAGAACGGAAGCTGAGCACCAGTGGCTCATATCTGTAATCCTAACATGATGAGTCCTGAAGGATTTGTAGTTGGAATGGAAACCAACTTGGGCAGAAAAGCCCTCAAGACTCCATCCCCAATTAATCAGCAAAAAGCTATACTAGGGGTGTGACTCAACTGGTAGAGCACCAACCTAACAAGCAAGCAAAAGAACCTGAGTTTAAACCCCAGTACAGAAAACAATTAAAGAATTCAATTAGAATCATAGAAATATGACACATTACTCCCTTACTTACCTATGTTCAGAAATAAATAGAACAGATGTGCCAGCAGAACATTATTAGAAAAAAAAGTTCTATATTCTGCTCCAAAATAGCAGTGAACAAACCATTGAAAATCCAATTTTTTTTTTGGGGGGGGGGTTCCGGTCATGGGGCCTGAACTCTGGGCCTGGGCGCTGTCCCTCAGCTCTTCAGCTCAAGGCTAGCACTCTACCACTTGAGCCACAGTGCCACTTCTGGCTTTTTTCTTTTTGCTTATGTGGTGCTGAGGAATCGAACCCAGGGCCTCAGGCATGCAAAGGCAAGTGCTCTACCACTGAGCCACCTTCCTAGCCCCTCCAATTTTTTTTCATTGGTCATAAGGCCTGAACTCTGGGCCTGGGCACTGTTCCTCAGCTCTTCAGCTCAAGGCTAGCACTCTACCACTTAAGCCACAGCACCACTTCTGGCTTTTTCTGCTTATGAGGTGTTAGGAATTGAACTCAGAGCCTCATGCATGCAAGGCAAGCACTGTACCACTGAGCCACCTTCCCAGCCTTGAAAATCCAATTTTTTAATGTAATGATTGGCTTGACATACTTTTCAGTAAGAACTGGGTCAACCAAAGAAACATGGTCCCCTGGTTTTCCTTATTTGCAAAAAGTAGTATACATCTAGGATAATCTTATTAGACCAGCAGAAAAGATACAAAGCTATCTACATATGACCATATAAGATGATGCTAAGGGAAATAAACAAGACAGGAACACAAGAGGTTTTATTTTTGTTGCTGTTGTTTTAATATACTATGTGACTTTTTTGTTTCTTTTGTATGTTCTTCCCCCATGGTATGACCCCTGTATTCACTGTATTTGACTTCGATGCCCTGCATCTTGTATATACATTTTTCTAATTTGGGGAGGGGAAGGGAAATAACAAAATGCTGAAACAAGGCTACAGGTTGACTCATTGTAACAATGAGATGTACAAGACACTACTTGAAAATGAACTTTACAACTGGGGGGGGGGGAGAGGGAGGAGCTGGGGAGGTGGGGAGGGAAGGGATAGTAGGGGAAAAACAAAGGAGGGGTAACAATGCACAATAGGAAATTTACTCATTACCTTACTCATGTAACTATAACCCTTCTACAGTATCTTTACAATTACATATATATATATATATGTATATGTATATGTATATGTATATAGAACTGGGTCAAGTAATAAAGTACTTTTCTAGCAAGCACAAGGCCCTAAGTTGAAATCCCAGTACTGCCAATAAAAATTAAAACTCACAAAGCATTACCAATCACTCACAAAATGTCAAAGAAATTAGAACCAGGGCTCAGTTGTAAGAACTGCTAATGTGTGGCCGTCAAATCATATCATCATCAGTGCACAGAAATTGCTCTCACTAATAGAGAGATGAATCTACATGATCCACCTCACCATTAAAATATCATCTAATCATTAAAATACAAGTTGGCCAACTTGAGGTCACGACCTAAACATCAAAGGATGATTCCTCCAGCTTATCATCTCCATGGGAGCAATCAGGTACAGTCCATGAAACAAAAACTTTCCAGACCATAACCAGTGGTGAGCCAGGCCCAAAGGGAAAGGAAAGAACAATAAAAGGGGCAGGGAGTACACCCAGGGCCAGTAAATCCTGCCTAAAGCCTGCCTAGTCCCACATTAAACACTTGCCTGAAAAAAGACTCACACGTAAATAAACACAAAAATGGCATGTTCTCCAGGAGGGGGTGTTGTTCAGTGAATGCTTCTAGATCTAAACTCTGACTTTGGAAGACAAGTGGAGTACAAATTGCCCTCTGGATTATTTACACCAATAGCCTGGGCAACAATCAAGATACACTTGTCACAAAGGATTTTTAGTGGTTCCCATAACCATAAACTTGTGCTTGCTTTCATTTGTACTGTTTTGGTTTGGAGATGTGACCTAGCTATATAACCCAACTTGGCCTTGAATGTATAATCTTTCTGCCTCAGCCTCCCAAGTGGTGAGATGATAGGCATGCGCTACCACACTTGTCTATTTTTGCTTTTAAATTCAGTTACCCAGAGGCTGAAGTATAACTCAGTGGTAGAGTGCTACCCTAGAATGTGGGCACTGGATTCAGTCCTCAAAACTATAAAATAATATAGTAATATTATAGCAATAATACTAAGTTGACTACTTGAGTTGATAAGGAATGTTCTGAATGTTTCCATTCAGAAACGGACCTTGAGTCCAATTAAGTTTAGTCAACTGTCCTAAATTGGAGTTGAGAAAATAGACCTTTCACATGTCACTTAAAAGTAGGCCAAAGCTATCTCATTACACGAATCCTGCTGCAAGGAAATTGTAAAACATGGTTATAATCTGATCAATGTTACTTGACTTCCTATTCAAGAAACCAGAATCATGCCACACTTTTTCCTCAATATGAAGCAGATAGACACTGCCTGTGAATAGTCTTCTAATTGGAGATGTATAAAAATAGTCCTAGAGTCAGCAAAGCATTGGATAGAGTTCTTGTCTTCAGAGGGCTGTGTTTTTCTAAAAAAGGCACATGTGTACAGTTAGAACATGACACTGTATGTGTCATGAGTGTTATGTGACCTTGCTGAAGTGTACAAGAGGTGTGCATGGGAGAACAGAAAGGAGAAGCTACCCTTCTAGTAATAGTGGCTCCACAGAGGAGCCAACACCACCGTCCTGTCTTTAAAGATGAATAAGAAGTCAGGAGGGGGACTGGGAAGGTGGCTCAGTGGTAGGGTGTTTGCCTTGCATGCATGAGGCCCTGGGTTCGATTCCTCAGCACCACATAAGCAGAAAAAGCTGGAAGTGGCACTGTGGCTCAAGTGGTAGAGTGCTAGCCTTGAGCTGAAGAGCTGAAGGACAGCGCCCAGGCCCAGAGTTCAGGCCCCACAACCTCAAAAAAAAAAAAAAAAAAAAGTCAAGAGGGAAGCAGAGAGTAGACATGACCAGCAAGAGGAAGCCCCATGCAGAAGCACAGATGACAGCTACCGGTGCCCTCAAGTCATGGGAAAAGTTACCATGACTAGACAGCAGTAGAAAGCAAGTTCAGAAATACTACCCATCATATCTTTACATAGTTAGTGTTTTATGTCAAGTTAAACAGTTTTGATTCTGTCATCTAGGCAACAGTAAATTATTGAAAGATTTTATGAAAGAGGTACAGTTTTACAAAGTCACTTTGATTGTCCAAGTACAAAGTACAACATTCCATATCATAGCCAATTCACCAATAACATGTACATGATAGTACAAAATAGAAGGCATTCATAGTAAAGACAATGATTTTTGTCAGTTGTGGGGCTTGAACTCTGGGCCTGGGTGCTATCTCTGAGCTCTTCAGCTCAAGGTGAATGCGCTACCACTTGAGCCACAGCACCACTTCTGGTTTTCTGGTGGTTAATTAGAGATAAGTCTCACAGACTTTCCTTCCTGGGCTAACTTTGAACCATAATCCTCAGATCCCAGCCTCCTGAGTAGCTAGGATTATAGGCATGAGCCACCAGCACCCGACCAATGATGATATTTTTCAGGTCCTTTTGGCCACTTAGTTTTAGTGTTAAAACCTAATAAAAATCATCCTGACCTTCATCCTCAAATCCCCTATCTCTTGTTTTATAAACTATCCAGCCAGGTAACAAATATGTCTATTCTTCTACCTATCTCAGTAGTGACTAGTAGGGCTTATCAATAAGTAAGAAAAATAGGCTCTCACATTTCTTGATCACCCTGAAGATTCAAGTTTATTAAAAGTTTTGCTTATATACAAGAATCTGAGGACTTTCTCATGAGATCTGTCATTGTCAAAGCTACTATGAGAGGTGCTGTCATCAGAAACATTCTTGCAACTGAGCAAATATTTTGTTAGGCAGAGTCTCCACATGTCTGTGATGATACACAAAGTATCTACCCACAAGGGTAGCACAGAAAACCTGTGCATCTAGGCTAAGAAATTTGTACTTGAAATCATACACTTCCAATTCATCATCATAATAAACCCAACCAAGAGATAAAAGCTCCCAACTATATTCTTTTTTTACGTTTTTTATTATAATTGTAAAGGTGATGTATACAGGGGTTACAGTTACATAAGACAGGTTATGAGTACATTTGTTTTTGAACAATGTCGCCCTTCCCTCGCTCTCTCTCAATTTTTTCTTCCTAACCCCCCTCTCCCACAAGTTGTATAGCTCACTTTCAACATAGTGTCTAGTGGTTTCCCTCATTTGTGGAACTAGAATGTGCCTATAACTCTACACGTAAACACATTGGATAGTAAAAGACAAAAAAAAATGAACTTGGATATAATAAATTATACAGGACACTGGGCATTCACACAGTAATACCAAATGAGGATATTCTTTGGAGATAATCACAAAGGCTCAATAGCTACAACCAAATTAGATTCTTACTCTAACACAAATGGACATGATCACCACCAGGGGCTGATGGCTTATACCTGTAATCCTAACTATTCAGGAGGCTGAGATCTGTAGATCAGGGTTGTAAGCCTGCCCAAGAAGAAAAGTAAGTCTGTGATATTCTTATCTCCAATTAACCAGCAAAAATCTGGAAGTAGAGTTGTGGCTCAAGTGGTGGAGCATCACCAGCCTAGTGTAATGAAAACCAAGGGAAATCTCAAAGCCCAAAGTTCAAGCCCTAGTACCAGCACCAGAAAAGAAAAAAAGGAGAGGAAGAGACAAAGAGGAAGAAGGAAGGGGAAGGAAGAAATACACATATTAATCTAAAATACCTCATAAAACCAGATTAAATGACATAAAGTATTTAACCTTGGATTTAATATTTTTATTTAATTTTAATTAGTTTAATTCTTAATAGTTAAATAATTTAGTTCTTAAAAAAACTTTTTTTGGCAGTTGGTGACATTATTAAAGAGTTATATAATGGTTTTCTAGGGAACTGAAAAGTCTTTAGAAAATATATGACATGTTTGCACTTACTTCCCTAGGGATTTAGGAAGTAATAAGATTGAAAGTCTTCCGCCACATCTATTTAAGGATCTGAAGGAGCTGTCACAATTGTAAGACTTAAGTTACTTTCACCACTTCATTTCTTTTATAATGATTTTAATTGGGCAAAATTCGCTTAACGTAAAGTTTCCCATCTATCAATCAATATATGGTTGAAAGGCATCAACATAACTACATCAACATGACTGTGCAGCCATCACCACCCTCTACCTCCAGACTGTTGCGTCTGCAAAACTGAAACTCAGCAACCACTAAACACTACTGCCCATTCTCCCTCCCCAACTCCCCCTTCCCCAACCCCAAACAGCAAATTCCACTTTCTATCCCCATGAACTGGACTAGTCTGAGTACATCTATAACTGCAATCATACATTGTCATTTTGTTACTGGTTTATTTACATTCATATAATGTCTTCAAGGTCCATTCATCCATTCAGGTTGTAGCATATGTCAGAATAATATTGTATGCAATCAATACACACATACATATACATATATATATATATATATAATACATTATGTTTATCCTCTCATCAATTAATGGTTGCTTCTCCCTCTTGACTGTCATGATCATGGGTACAAATAGTTCTTTAAGTTTCTGCACTTGATTCTTTGACCTGTATGGTGATCCTCAGCTCACAATAAGGTTACTGTATATGCACCCTAATAAGGCCATCATAAGAGCACAGAACTGCATACCTGGAATTCTAGATACTCAAGAGGATGAGATCTGAGGATCAAGGTTTGAAGCCATCTCATAGGAGACAAATTCTCAAGACTTTTATTCCCAATTAACTAGCAAAATGCCAAAAGTAGAGGTGTGGCTCAAGTGGTAGAACACCAGCCTTTGAGTAGAAAAAGCTAAACAAGAACATGAATCCCTGAGTTCAAGCCCCAGTACCAATGCAAAAGAAAGGAAGGAGAGAGAGGAGAGAGAGAGAGAGAGAGGAAGGAAGGAAGGAAGGAAGGAAGGAAGGAAGGAAGGAAGGAAGGAAGGAAGGAAGGAAGGAAGGAAGGAAGGAAGGAAGGGAGACAGAAATCAGAAGTAGAGCCATGGTAGAGTACACGCCTTGAGCAAAAAAGCTCAGGGACAGCACTCAAGCCTTCACTTCAAGTCCTGGGACTGGCACACACAAAATATCACACTTAATACATCTATCAGGTTTTTTTTTTCTTGGTCATGGAGCCTGTACTCTGGGCCTAGGTGCTGTCTCTCAGCTCTTCAGCTCAAGGCTAGCACTCTACCACTTGAGCCACAACACCATTTCTTGCTTTTTCTGCTTATGTGGTGCTGAGGAATCAAACCCAGGACCTCATGCATGCACGGCAAGCACTGAGCCACCTTCCTAGCTCCCACCTACCAGTTTTTCACTCTTGCTGTTACCAAAAATAAAAGACTGGTGTGATACCAAGTAAAGCATTTGGACTAGTAGGAGTAACTCCATTTTGCTTGATGCCAGTGAGCGCAGAGGAGCATGCCACTCCAAAGATATGGGCCCCTGCTCCAAATTTTCCAGTGTTCAAGGAGTTTTAAGTTGGGGAAGGGGGATATAGACATAGGACATCAGTAGTCTAGAGTTGGAAGAAGGTCATAGGAGCTAGGTAACAGGATGCAGGTCCAAATAGACAAGTTTAGGTTGGAGAGGGAGACGCAAATTTGGAGAAGTCACATAGGTTAAGGTTGGATAAAAAAAAAAAAAAATTGCAGTTTCCTGAGAAAATAGAGGTCATACACTGAGGTTTAGAGATAACAATGGGAATTTATAGGGTTCAAGAAATAACAGTACACTTACAGCCATGGCACTTAGGGTTCCGTAATTAACAGCCATTGAGTGCCCATAATTCTTGGGAGTTATGGGGGTGGGAGAATAAAGCCAAGGCCTTTTTTGGAATTCATACTTTGGTCTGAGAAGCGTAAGTTGTATTTTAGCCCCTTTCCCCCAGCCACCCTGACAACGCAACTGTATGCCAGACAATTTGCAATTGTTGAGCTTTTCTTCTTCTCTTTGTATTTTTGGGAGTACTAGGGTTTGAACTTGGGGCCTCATTCTTAGTAAGCATGTGCTTTGCCAGTGGATCCATATCCCCAGCCCTTTTGCTTAGTTTTATTTTTTAATAGGTTTTGTGTTTTAGCTCAGGACCAGGCTCAGACAGTAATTCTCCTATTTCATTCTGCACATTTATCTAGAATCACAGGTATGCTCCACCACATCGAGCTTATTTGTTGATCTGTGCTCTCACTAAATTTTTCCCCTAGCTATCCCCAAACCAGTCTCCCCACCTCTATCTCCAAGCAGCTCAGACTACCAAACTTGTCTTTGAGACAAGGGCAGCTGACTTTTTGCAAGGCTGGCCTCAAATCATGATCTTCTTGTCTCTACCTTCTGAGTAAATGGTGTTCCAGGCATGTACCACCATGCCTGGTCCTCCTTTGCCTACTTTTTGATACTTTTTTGATACTTTTCTTGCTACTGATCTGTTTTTAAGCCTTATTTCCCATATTAACCCAAGTTCAGAAATAGCTCTGACAAGAATCCAAGGCCCTAGTTTTTTATTTCTAGAATGAGAAGGAAGCAGAAGAAGGAAGAGAAAAAGAAAGTAAAGAAGAAATACTTGATTTACAAATGCTTCCATGCTTCCTCCAATTCTTTATAGTCTCATCACTCTGCTCTTTTTCCTTGGCTATTCACAAGTGTTTCCATTCTTTCCACTTACTGTAATCCCAGCTGTCTAAATTTGCTTTTACTGCCTATTTTTTGAGGGGCATTCCAAGAAGTACCATTGCCCAAACAATGTATTTTCTTCTAGTGGTTTTACAGTTCAGGCCTTAGATATCTTTAATCCATTTTCAATTGTACTATCCTCTTCTTTTTGTATATATGAAAGTCATTAGATATGTCATTAGGCATGTTCTCTTTGCTCAAGAAATTATTAGAAATAACTTATTGCTACTTTTGTTTAAAAATAACAGGAATATTTCTTATAATCCAATCCAGAGAATTCAAGCAAATCAGTTTGATTATCTTGTCAAACTAAAGTCTCTGTAAGTATGCACAGACAAGGTCATTTCATGATTGAATTATTATTTCAATACTAATAATATGCGTTTTAGTGTCTCTCAAATTACAAGCTTTATTTCTAGGATATAAGGCTCCTCACAAACACAAATGACTGCTCTACAGACTATAAACAATCTGATAGCTATTACTTTAATCTTACATATAAATAAACTAAAAATTAAGTAATGAATCATTTATTCTCTTTTGCTTGGTAAGTAAATTGTTGGAAATACTAAATTGTTGGATTAGATTCCCTGAGGGCTTCTATGCACCTGTGCTCCATTAGTTGTAGACACTGAAGAATCTATAATGAGCATCATCACTCTAAGATGAACTGTCTTTGGATATGTAAATCATGGTTTGCAACACACACACAGACACACAGACACACAGACACACACACACACACACACACACACACCCCAAAACTCTACTAGCACCTAAGCAATTTCTTAAAAATCTAAGCATCATTTCATCTCATTGGAGTGTTTGCTAAGTAACATGGCATTTATTAGAAGAAAATACTACTTAAAAATTATTAGAAAATACCAGGTGCCAATGGCTCACACCTGTAATCCTAGCTATTCAGGAGGCTGAAATCTGAGGATTGCCATTCAAAACTAGCCCAGGTAGGAAAGTCTGTGAAACTCTTACTCTAATTTAAAAAAAAAAAAAAAAAGGCAGAAGTAGATCTGAGACTGAAATGGTAGAATACAAGCCTAGAGCAAAAGAAGCTCAGGGACAGAACCCAGGCTCTGAGTTCAAGCCTGTATGCATGTATTAGCAAACTTTCAATGATGTAAAACTCCTCTGCTCTTGTAAAATTGCCCAAAAAATAATGTTCACTTCCTTTTCAACTAAGATTTTCTGAGCAGTTACACTTATCACACACAGCCGTTGTGCCATGATCCAAGAGGATACAAAAAACATTGAATAGGAAAACTATATGTCAAAGAGAATACTCAAAATTAAGATTTAGGAAAGTGGAACTAGGAATGTTTTACTGGGAATGAATGTTAAGTAGAACCATTTTATTACATTATCCTTCACTGGAACCCATTTTATTATGCTACATGTAACCTGTATCCTTTTGACTGATTCTCAACTTGATATTTTCAGCAGCCTAGAAGGAATTGAAATTTCTAATATCCAACAAAGGATGTTCATGCCTCTTAGGAATCTCTCACACATGTAAGTAGGCATTGTGACTGATCTTCACCTTAATTTTATGTTCCCACTTGTATTTTGGTAATATTCATATCTGATGCAGCTAATCTATTCATATATTTTACTAATTTGCCTTCTGTTTACTGAATATTTGTGTCCTTGCTCCCAAATTCATATGCTGAAAAACTAACCCCAAAGTGATGGTACTGAAACCAAAAATTTACAATACCTGGATCAGTCCCTCCATTTCTCTGGTCCCAAGGATCCAAGTAAAACCATTAAGACTTATTGGAGAAAAGGATAAACAAAACTCCTACTACATAGGAAAGGTCCCAAGGGAGGACATTACTTGGGGTGCACTGTGTAGGGGTTAAAAAGGTGTCTCAAGGAGAGAACTACTTGACGCTCAAGGTCATTGGACAGCCTACAGGTTATGTGGGTTCCAGCCCCAATCAGAGAATCCATATAGCCTGCATGAGCTCTCACGCATTCTTTAGCCCCTTGACTAGATGACCATTCCAATGCACACTTCAGGGGTCCAATCAGCCCACTGATTACAGCAAATCTTCTAGAGGCAATGGGCCATAATGTGATGTCTAAGGTCTAGGATGTGTGAGTACTCAAGGCCATGCTAATATGGTAGCTAGAGGTCAGCATACAGGACTGCTCAAAGCCATGGTGATGTGATACCTAGTACCATACACACAAGATTGCTAAAGTGGTGATGAGGGATATAGAACCTCCATGAGAGAAAACCTTTGACCTGATTGTCTAGCCAGGTAAATACTTGCTTAGTACGTACAAGGCCCTGGGTTCCATCCTCAACATGACAGGAAAAACAAAGAGATTCTAAAACATGTCCCTCCATCATGTAAGGACAGAGTGAGAACACAGTCATCTTTGAAGCAAGAAACAGGACCTCACCTGAATGGGGTGTGCTACACCTTGGCCTTGGACTTCCAGTCTCTAGAACCAATGGGAAGGCACATTATTATTCAGACCACCAAACCTATGGAATTTTCTTTACAACAGTCCAAACCAACTCACACATGACTAAGCTATAATTAATTCAAAACTTTCAGTTTGATTTTGAGTTTTCCAACATCTGGTAGAATTTCATGGGAATTTTTTTGAATCCCAGGGAATTTCTTATAACTAATAAAGATATTTTTTCCTGGTTCCAGGGCTTGAAGTCAGAGACTCATTCTTGCTAGGCTTTCTTGCTCATGACTGCTATTCTACCACTTGAGCCATACTTTTAGTCCAGTATTTTGCTAACTGAAGTGTCTGGGAGACTTCCTTGCCCAGGCTGGTTTTGAACCTTGATCTCAAATCTCAGCCTCCTGAGTAGCTAGTATTACAGGCATGAAACAGTCCACAAGATCATACACACACACACACACACACATACACACACACACACACACACACAGCCGAACACTGTGCCTGTAAAGCAAATTGATCTAGTCTGAATTCAGTTTCTACAGTTATCAGAAAACATCCTAGCAACATACCTCCACTGAAGACACATTTCCTATGCAGATGCTAACATTCGCATTCATTTGAGAATTTATATCAGATGCCTAGAAGACACTCCATAAATGAAAATACCTGGTTATCCAGGTGATGACTTTACCAAGGGAGTCCTATTGGTGAAAGAATTCCCTCAACAAATGTTCATTGACACTATAGTTGTCTTCCAAAATCTAGAGTAAGTCAGGCATACTACAAACTAATTACAGATAACATACAGTCTATAACTGAAAAGTCCCCAAAGCCTAGAGGGAAATGTTCTTGACTTTGCTCTGAAGGTCAGAAAAACAGGCCCATTGCAAAAGCCAGGATGAGGCAACAGTGCATTCACACAGGAAATTATGAAAGCCCATACACATAAAAAAGTTCATTGAACTAGTTCAATCTTTAGGTGACAAGCTATCCATTTATTTAAGCCTTAAGATATGTCTGACTCTTACATAGTTAATTTACCCGTTAGCTTCTCTTGAAACTAAATTTTTAGACCCCAGGCCTAAAATTCAAGAGTTCCAAGTTAGGTCTGACCACTCCCACTCATATGTCAAATAAAGAGATATAGTGAAGGGCAGAGAAAGAAGATATATTATGTGGGAAGACAGCACTTCAATACACCTTCCAAATACGTCTTCCAATACGTCTTCCAAAATATAGACAACAGCTTCAGGTTAAACAGGGAGAATTTGGAGACAGTGGAGAGAAATATATGCATAGTAGTTAAGACAGCTCCAAGTTGAAGGTGTGGCTTGGTTTACCCTTAGCTCAGTCTTTGTCCTTCAAGAATTCTGGGGAGTTAAAATTTTATTACTGGAATGGAACAGGAATGAAGTAGTCTATGGAATTTTGGGCTTTTTGCTTGTTTGAGGGGCAGTTTGCCTTCTACACAAGATTATTACCATTGAATCTTCCCATTTCTCCTGCAAACAAGTGATTGCAAAGGAACTGAAACAGAAAATAGCTCAAAACAAAGGACACAGATATATAAAGTTGAAGACTTGTAATTTATTCACAGGACTCAGGAAAATCATCTTTGTGTGTATGTGTATATATGCCAATCCTAGGGCTTGAACTCAAGGCCTGGGCACTCTCTCTCAGCTTTTTTGCTGAAGGCTAGTGCTCTACCGCTTTAGCCACAGCTCCACTTCTGGACTTTTTGGTGGTTAATTGGAAATAAGAGTCTCAAGAACTTTTCTGCCTAGGTTGGCTTTGAACCTTAATCTTCAGATCTTAGCCTCCTGAGTAGATTAGAGCTATAGGATTAGAGGCATGAGTCACTAATACACAGCAAAAGCATCTCAGAAGCATCTCCACACATCTTTTACTGTGAAATCAAATGAATGAGAATTAGGTTCAAGTTAAAAATTTCTGAATTCCTAATGCTTTGCATTCATCTGAATCTCATATTAACACATTTTCCCCATTGAAGAAAATGTCGAAAATATCTATGGATGGAGATATTGAATTCTTTTCAAACTTTGATCTTTCACTTTCTCTTCATACTCCAGATATTTTAAGAAATTTCAGTACTGTGGCTATGCACCACATGTTCGCAGCTGTAAACCAAATACGGACGGAATTTCATCTCTTGAGAATCTTTTGGCAAGCATTATCCAAAGAGTGTTTGTCTGGGTTGTATCTGCTGTTACCTGCTTCGGAAATATATTTGTTATTTGTATGAGACCTTATATCAGGTCTGAAAACAAGCTGCATGCTATGTCAATCATTTCTCTCTGCTGTGAGTACTTCTCGGTTAAAGAGGAACTACAGTTTTGAAATACAGGAAAAGCATTGCTATAAATTCTGTCAGTGATAGAATAATGGAATTTTTAATTTTTCTGTGTGCATGTATATGTGCATGCATGTGTGTGTGTGTGTGTGTGTGTGTGTGTGTGTGTGTGTGTGTGTACTAGTCTAAAGGCTTAAACTCAGCGCCTGAACTTTTTTACTTTTGTGTGTGTGTATGCTCAATGTGTGTTCTATCATTTGAGCCACCACTCCACTTCTGCCTTTTTGGTGGTTAATTGGTGAGCAGACTCTTATCTGACATTATCCACCAAAAAGCCAAAAGTGGAGCTGTGGCTCAAGTGGTACAGCACAATCCTTTAGCAAGAAAGCTCAGGCTCAAAGCCCAGGCCCTGAGTCCAAGCCCCAGTACTGTCACTCACACACTCAGACACACACAAATGCCTAATAAAAATTCCATTATGCCTGTTTATTCCTCTAAACATGGAAACTCTGTGACACTGTAGGTGCTGACTGCCTAATGGGAATATACTTGTTTGTGATCGGAGCCTTTGACATCAAGTTCCGGGGAGAATACAATAAGCACGCCCAGCTGTGGATGGAGAGTAGTCCTTGTCAGCTCATGGGATCATTGGCCATTCTTTCTACAGAAGTATCAGTTTTACTCTTAACATTTCTGACATTGGAAAAGTACATCTGCATTGTGTATCCTTTTAGATGTTTAAGACCTCGAAAATGCAGAACCATTACAGTTCTGATTCTCATTTGGATTATTGGCTTCATAGTAGCTTTCATTCCCCTGAGCAATAAGGAATTCTTCAAAAACTACTATGGCACCAATGGAGTGTGCTTCCCTCTTCATTCAGAAGATACAGAAAGTATTGGAGCTCAGATTTATTCAGTGGCAATTTTTCTTGGTAAGAAAATTTTATGCAAACAATGAGATAGAATTACTCACAATATGAAACTCATTATGCCTTCTATGTTTACAAATTTTTGTTTTGTACTGGGATTTGAGTTCAGTGCCTTGAGCTGACTCAGCTGGCTCTCCACATGAGCAGTGCCTCCAGACCAGCTTTTTGCTGGTAATTTTGGAGATAGAATCTAATGGACTTTTCTACAGAAGGTTGGTCTCAAACCAAGATCTCCAGGTATCAGCCTCCTGAATAGATAGCTAGAACAACAGGAATGCTACTCTTATTTTGCATCTTCTACCCAGTTTTTCCTTAGCATGAAGATAAATTCTATCAAAATACTCAACAATTTGGGGTTTCTTTTCCAAAAATCACTGCTTTGAAGCAATCAATAAAAGATTCTTCAAAAAGTAAAAAAGGACTGCTTTCTTTATTGTACTCAATAAAAGATGCTAAACTTGTATTTCACATGTTCACCTGAATAATAGCAGACAAAATATACTGTGGGTCCTTATAAAAACACACATGATATTAACATAATGGTATTTGCTATCTTTTTTTAACTCACAGGTAAGCAACACACATATTTTGCTAAAGAGCATATATTCTCAAAATGCAGCACAAAGTAATACAATTGCTTCTTAAGCTCATTAATAATAGAACACTTAACTGGCTCAAGATACTTGCTGAATGACTGTAAACTCCATTTTAATATGCCATTTTAAAATTAAGCATCTTATCATTGTTCATCACTTCAACAATATACCAACACAAAAGAACTGATAACTTCTGTGCTCCATAGTAATTGTTGTTTTTTTTTTGGGGGGGGGGGTGGTCTAGTCATGGGCCTGAACTCTGGGCCTAGATGCTGTCCCTCAGCTCTTCAGCTCAAGGCTAGCGCTCTACCACTTGAGCCACAGCGCCACTTCCAGCTTTTTTTTTCTGCTTAAGTGGTGCTGAGGAATCAAACCCAGGGCCTCATGCATGCAAGGCAAGCGCTCTACCACTGAGCCACCTTCCCAGCCCCGTAGTAATTTTTTATGTAGACAGGGTCTCAATATGTAGCCCAAGTTGGCCTCCCACTTACTATGTAGCTTAGGCTGGCCTTGAACTTGAGATTCTCTGGCCTCTGCCTTTTAAGTGCTAGGATTACAAGAATGCAATACCATGCCCACCTTAATAAATCTTTCTGAGAAGCCAAAACACCATGCTATGGTCTTTGTATCTTTCATATTAATGCTTAAAGTTATGTTTTATTAATCTGCTCATTTTGTGAATATTTATATGTTATTAACATTCTTATATTCCAAACAGGTATTAACTTGGCAGCCTTTCTCATCATCGTTTTCTCCTATGGAAGCATGTTTTATAGTGTTCATCAAAGCGCCATAACAGCCACTGAAATACGGAATCAAATTAAAAAAGAGATGATCCTTGCCAAGCGGTTTTTCTTTATCGTATTTACTGATGCGCTATGCTGGATACCCATTTTTATACTGAAATTTCTTTCACTGCTTCAGGTAGAAATACCAGGTACAACTTTTCTTTTGACAAAGAAGTAATAAATCTGTTTGGGGAGTGTTCTGTGAAGGATTATTTACATTCTTACCACTAACTAATTTCAATCTAAGTCAGAACTACATGTACTTTAAGCTGCCATTTGTAATGGCTTACTGAAAGGCATTTATTTCTCTCCATAAACTCCTAAGGGTCAGGGGCATGGTTCAAATGGTAAAGTACCTGCCTTGCAAGTTTGAGCCCTTTAATTCAAATCTTGTACTGTCAAAAAAAAATCACAAATGCCTAATAACAAAATTATTATCAGAACAAAGGAACAATGATCAAAATAATGAAATGCATGTGATTTAGAGCACATGACTTCAGACTGTAAGAAGGCATACAAGGATTAAGATCTAAATATAGCATACATCTACACTAACACTATTATTTTAAACATCATAGCTGAGATGGTGTGGATGCTGTGAAAACAATGTGGCAGAGACTCTGCCAAAAACAAATACAAGATCAACATAACTCAATCATTCTTCCACTTCTGGATAAATATCCAGGAGAACTAAAAGCAGGGACTCAAACAGATTCATAAAGTTCATCAAGTACTGCAATACCATTCACAATAGCCAAAAGGTCCAAACAAAATCCATGGCTAGATGATGAGATAAACAAGACAGACAGATGCCAGTGGCTCATGCCTGTAGTCCTAGCTACTCATGAGGCTGAGATCTAAGGATCGTGATTCAAAACCAGCCCTGTCAGGGAAGTCCATGAGACTTTTATCTCCAACAAAACACCAAAAAGCCAGAAGTAGAGCTGTGGCATAAGTGGTAAAGCACTAATCTTGAGGGGGAAAAATGCTTAGGCTTTGAGTTTGTCTCAGCCATCTTACATGAGGTCCCTGGAGTGATCAAATTTATAGAGTGCATAAAATAGTGATTGCCAGAGGCTGGAGAAGGGGAAAATGAGAGTGGTTGTTTAATAAGTATGATTCAGTTTAGGAGGTTGAGAAAATTTTAGAGATGGATGATGTTTTTGGATGCATAACAATGTGAACATACTTAATGCCAATGAACCATACATTTACAAATGGACAAAAGTTAGACAGCTATGGCAGTAAATGCCTAAAATCCATGCACTTGGGAGACTGAGGTAAGAGGATCATGAGCTCAAAGCCAATCTGGACTACACAGTGAATGAGAACCTATCTCTATAAACCAAAACAGAACAATAATGAAGTTTGAAGTAGAAAACTTTGTTATATATATGGTCAATAGTATTTCTATAATGCATATTATTACATTTTATATATAAATGATATATAAATATTTATTAGGTATGATATATAATGCAATAATATTTTTATAATCTTTATAAATTCACATTTTAAATTTATATGTGCACATAATTTTAATTTTCTTTGATCCCATTGATAGGTAAAAGTATCTTACAGATTATAAATAACAAAAAGGAACAAAAGTATTAATTAATAATTAATTAATTAACAAAAATCTGAGTATTTGGTAGCTGTGTATATATAAAGATTTTTTCCCATATATGTTTAGCCAAAGATTTTTTTATAAATATTATCTTTACGTAGTTGTATAAAGAGATTTATACAAAAAAAATAGTTAATAAGTACAATGCATCTTGATCAATGTCATTGCTTCCATCATTGTCCCCCCACAAAGGTGGTTTTTTTATCGAAATAAATACTTGATCAAAAGCCTAAAAAGGCAAACCTAGTTTTGAAATCAAATAAAAAGCAGAAACATACTTAAGATAAGTCTACAGATCCTGAGTAATATTATATGTATCGTCTAGAATTTAAAACATTTGAAAAGATATGATTTAAATACTAAACAATATAGTTTTTTCTAAAGTTAAATCATAATACTGTCATCACTTTGTAGACAATGTTTCTATTAAAGTCTCTACTTGATGCTCTACTTGGCAGAGCCCTGTTTCTTTAGGGCCCAGAACTCCTTCAAACCCTAGCACTTCAGAAAGATGTCCTAGAGCAGGGTAGACTTGATGTTTAATTATGTGACAGGAAGCTTAAGACTCAAAAGTGGGTTGGAGTAAAAGATGCAAGAACAAAGATCATACAGGAAAAGGGAACCTATACTTTTTTTTTTTTTTTTTTTTTTTTTTTTTATTGTAAAGCTACTATACAGAGGGTCACAGTTACATGAGTGAGGTTATGAGTACACTTCCTCTTGAACATTGTTACCCCCTCCATTGTTTTCCCCCTACCATCCCCTCCCTCCCTCCCTTCCCCGAGGTTCTTTTTTTTTTTTTTTTTTTGATTGTGATTAAATGATTACATAATTTCAAAGTCACAAGTTCATTCTAACTTCCCTGGAGCAAATTGTCTACCACAGTCTGTAATATATAACAGTGTTCACATGTTATATACCATATTTGTGATCAGCAGCATGAGGATATTTAGTAGTGGTTCAACCAGATGAGCGGGAGTTCTTTGTTTCTTAAGTCCTGTTAGTTTTGTCGTATCACTAACCTTTTGGATTTAGCATCCACTTATGAGGGAGACCATGTACCGTTTGTCTCTTCGTTCTTGGCTTACCTCGCTCAACATGATTCCTTCTAGCTCCATCCATTTCCCTGCAAATGCCATTATTTTGTCATTTCTAATGGCTGCATAATATTCCATTGTGTATAGATACCACAATTTTTGGATCCATTCATCTGTGGTGGGGCACCTAGGTTGTTTCCATATCCTAGCTATTGCGAACAGTGCTGCAATAAACATGGAGGTGCACGTGTCCTTGTATATTGGTTCCTGTTGTTCAGGGTAGATGCCTAGAAGTGGTATGACTGGGTCGTAAGGGAGGTCAATCTTTAGCTTTCTAAGGACCCTCCAGACTGCTTTCCAAAGTGGTTGTATAAGTGTACATTCCCACCAGCAGTGTAATAGGGTTCCTCTTTCTCCACATCCCCTCCAGCATTTGTCGTTGGCTGATTTGTGGATGTGGGACATTCTGACTGGGGTAAGGTGGTATCTCAGGGTTGTCTTTATTTGCATTTCCTTCACCACCAGGGATGATGAACATTTCCTCATGTGTTTCTTCGCCATTTTTATTTCTTCATTTGAGAAGTCCCTCTTTAGTTCCCTTGCCCATTTAGTAATTGGTTTGTTAGGTTTGGGAGGGATTAGTTTCTTGAGTTCCCTGTATATACAGGATGTTAACCCCTTGTCTGATATATTGCTGGTAAATATTTTTTCCCAATTAGTTGGTTGTCTTTCTAGCTTAGTTGCGATAGATTTAGCTGTGCAGAAGCTTTTTATTTTAAGGTAGTCCCATTTGTCGAGTCTCTCTCCAACTTGTTGTGACCCTGGGACTCTGTTCAGGAAGTTCCTTCCTGTGCCTATTAGTTCAAGTGTCTCTCCTACTCTGTCCTGCAGTAGTTTCAGAGATTCAGGTTTAATGTTAAGGTCTTTAATCCATTTTGAGTTGATGTTGGTGCATGGTGATAGGCTGGGGTCCACTTTTAGTTTTCTGCATGTGGCTGCCCAGTTTTCCCAGCACCAGCGGTTGAAGAGGCTGTGTTTCTTCCATTGTATGTCTTTGGCTCCTTTGTCGAATATCAGCTGGCTGTAGGCCTGTGGATTTATATCTGGATCTTCTATTCTGTTCCATTGGTCTTCGGGTCTGTTTTTGTGCCAGTACCATGCTGTCTTTGTGATTATAGCTCTGTAGTAGAGTTTGAAGTTCGGCATGGATAGCCCTCCCATATTGTCTTTATCCCCTAGAATTGTTTTGGCTATTCTAGGTCTTTTGTTGTTCCATATAAATTTTTGGACTGTTTTCTGTATTTCAGTGATGTACGTCATTGGGATTTTAATAGGAATTGCATTGAATTTGTATATTAATTTTGGAAGTATCACCATCTTTACTATATTAAGTCGGCCTATCCAGGAGCATGGGAGGTCTTTCCATTTCCTAGTGTCTTCTGCAATTTCTTTCTTTAACTTTTTATAGTTCTCATTAAATAGTTCTTTTACATCTTTGGTTAGGTTAATTCCTAAATATTTTATTTTTTGGGAGGTTATTGTGAATGGGGTTGCTCCCTTTATTTCCCTCTCTTCCTGTGCGTTATCAGTGTATAGGAAGGCAACTGATTTTTGTGGGTTTATTTTGTATCCTGCTATTTTGCCGAAGTGACTTATGATTTCTAAAAGTTTGGGGATGGAGTTTTTGGGATCGTGGAGGTATAGTATCATGTCGTCTGCAAAAAGGGATAGTTTCACTTCTTCTTTCCCTATGCGGATCCCTTTAATGTCTTTTTCTTGCCTTATTGCCCTGGCTAAGGGTTCTAGGACTATGTTGAAGAGGAGTGGAGACAGTGGACATCCTTGCCTTGTTCCTGTTTTTAGGAGGATTGGTTGTAGCTTTTCCCCATTAAGTATAATATTGGCTATTGGTCTGTCATAAATGGCTTTTATTGTTTTTAGAAATGTTCCTTCTATTCCTATTTTCTCCAGAGCTTTTAGCATGAATGAATGTTGAATTTTATCAAAGGCCTTTTCTGCATCTGTGGCGATAATCATGTGATTCTTGACCTTGGCTCTGTTGATATGCTGGATTACATTTATTGACTTACGTATGTTAAACCATCCCTGTGTCTCTGGGATGAAGCCTACCTGATCATAGTGTATTATTTTTTTTATGTGTTTCTGGATTCTGTTAGCTAGAATCTTGTTAAGGATCTTTGCATCTGTGTTCATCAAGGAGATTGGCCTGTAATTCTCCTTTTTGGTTGGGTCTTTGCCTGGTTTGGGGATGAGTGTGATATTGGCTTCGTAGAATGAGTTTGGGATAGCTCCCTCCTTCTCTGTTTCTCTGAAGAGCTTGAGGAGTATGGGTATTAGTTCTTCTTTAAAGGTCTTATAGAATTCTGCTGTGAATCCATCTGGTCCTGGGCTTTTTTTTGTTGGAAGACTTTTGATAGCTTCCTGTATCTCATTATAGGATATTGGCTTATTTAATTGGTTAACTTCTTCTTTGCTCAGTTTGGGTAACTTGTATTTCTCTAAAAATGCATCCATTTCCGCCAGATTTTCTTCCTTTAGAGAGTATAGCTTTTGAAAGTAGTCTGTTAGAATTGTTTGGATATCTTGGGTACGTGTTGTGATGTTTCCCGTGGCATCCCTAATCCTATTAATATGGGTTTCCTCTCTTCTTTTTTTAATTAATCTTGCCAACGGGCCATCAATTTTGTTTATTTTTTCAAAGAACCAGCTTTTTGTTTGGTTTATTTTGGTTATGGTTTTCTGATTTTCTAATTGGTTAATCTCTGCTCTCAATTTGGTTATCTGGCTTCGTCTAGTAGCTTTAGGTCCCATTTTTTCTTGTTTTTCTAGCTGTTTTAGTTGCAACATGAGATTATTTACTTGGTCTGTCTCCATTCTCTTGATGTGGGCACTGAGGGCAATAAATTTGCCCCTCAGGACTGCTTTTGCTGTGTCCCACAAGTTTCTTTGTGAGGTGTTTTCATTTTCATTGAGTTCTAGGAAATGCTTTATTTCTTCTCTGATCTCTTCTGTTACCCAGGCCTTGTTAAGGAGTGTGCTGTTCAATTTCCATGTATTAGAGAAATTTCTGCGGTATGCTTTGTTATTGAGAGCTAGCTTGATTCCACTGTGGTCAGATAGGATACAGGGGATTATGTCGATCCCTTTGTATTTGCTTAAGTTCCTTGAATGAACTATGATATGGTCTATTTTGGAGAAAGTTCCATGAGCTGCTGAGAAGAATGTGTACTGTGTTGTTTTAGGGTGAAATACTCGGTAGATGTCAGTTAATTCCGCTTGAAGTATGGCCTCACTTAATTCGGTAGCTTCTTTGCCAATCCTCTGGTTGGTAGACCTGTCCTTTGGTGAGAGTGGCGTGTTAAAGTCTCCTAGTATTATTGTATTGGGATCTATTTTATTCTGTAAGTTTGAGAGCATTTGTTTAACATATCTGGGTGCACCGATATTTGGGGCATATAAGTTGATGATGGTTATATCCTCCTCTTGGATTGTTCCCTTTATTAATATGTAATGTCCGTCCTTGTCTTTCTGTACTGATTTTAATGAAAAGTTTATTTTGTCAGATATCAGGATAGCTACACCTGCTTTCTTATTGGGGGAATTTGATTGGTAGATCCTTTTCCACCCCTTCACTCTGAGTTTGTTTGTATGTTTGGCTGAGAGGTGGGTCTCCTGAAGGCAACAGATGGATGGGTCTTGTTTTCTGATCCAGTCCTCAGTTCGTTTTCTTTTAATTGGCGAATTCAGCCCATTTATATTAAGAGAAAGTATAGAGAGATGCATTGTTGTCCCTGCCATTCCGTTTTCCTAAGTTTTTCTTCTTTCCTTTCCTCCTGTGCTTGCTCAGTTAGACTTTGAGTAATGCCTGTTTGGGGCAGGTCCCAGTTCCTGGTTGCTTTCTTCAGGTTGTGTCCCCCCTCTTAGAATTCTTTGTAATGCTGGCTTAATGTTTATGTATTCATTTAGTTTTTCTTTGCTATTAAAAGTTTTCAGTTCTCCATCGAATGTGAATGCTAGCTTTGCCGGGTATATCAGTCTGGGTTGGCAGTTATTGGCTCTCAGGGCTCGTATGGTGCTTTCCCAGGCTTTTCTTGCATTCATTGTTTGTGTGGAGAGATCTGCAGTGATTCTAATTTTTTTCCCGTTGTAGTATAGCTCCTTCTTCATTTTTGCTGCATGCAGGATTGTTTCCTTATTATTCAGATCCATCATTGTTACTATTATGTGCCTAGAAGTGTTTCTCCTGGGATCTTGCTTGTTGGGTGTTCGATAAGCTTTTGTGATGTAGTTAAGATGGTCGTTTTTGAGGTGGGGAAAATTTTCATTGACTATCTTGTTAAATAGGTGTTGCATTCCCTTGCTCTGGAATTCCTCACCTTCGTCCACTCCGATTATGCGAAGGTTAAATTTTTTAGCATTATCTGCTTGCTCTTGAATTTCCCTTTGGTTTAATTTGAGTGATTTTTCCATATCTGTCACTTTTTGGTCCAGTTGGTGTATTCTGTCTTCTGTATCTGACACTCTACCTTCCATTTCATTCACTCTGTTGACCGTGGCTTCTATTGTGGTTTGCATGATGGAAATGGATCCCTTTATGGATTCAATGTTGGTTCTCAGAGTACTGATCTCACCTCTCAATGAGGTGATATCAGTATGCATTACCTCTAATTTGGCGTTTATCTCACTTCTTACTGAGGTTTGTGCAGCTTCTATTTTTGCATCCAATTTTTGTTTGATATCCTGTATATCTTTTGATAGTTCATCCTTGTGCTCTTTCAATTTCTGATCCATTTCTCGCTTTATTTCTTGAGTCATTGCCTCCAGCAACCCTTGGATGTAGTTTTTGTCTTCCATTCCTGCTTTGCTCCCACTGGGGCTCTCCCCTGCGTGGCTGCTGGCTTTTGAGGTGAGCTTGCTGTCCTGGGTAGTGGTAAACCTTGTGATTTTTCTCTGTGATTTTCGCATGGGGGTTCAGGAGACTGCTCTTCAATCTTGTTTTGGTGTGTCTGTCTTTGCTTGGTTGCTGATTCTCTATTGGTAGAGAGAGTCTGTGTCTGATCTGGATTCTGTTGGGAGCCTATTTCCAGCTGCTATTCACTTAGGATTCTCAGCTCTCTGCTGTAGCAATTCCCGCCTTTGGAAGGGTTGAGCAGCCTAGACTGCTTGTGTTTGCTCCTGCGGGTGCTCTTGGGAAGATCAGATGTTCTGGATGCACTCTCCCAAATACTGGAGTCTGCTATGGGCTCCTGATGTGTTTTTGTTTGTTTTGGGCTGGTTGTGGGCTTGAACTCTAGGTTTGGGTGCTGTCCCTCAGCTCTTCAGCTCAGGGCTGGCACCCTACCATTTGAGCCACAGCCCCACTTCTGACCCTTTTTGCTTTGTTCAGGCGCCGGTCCCCTGGCCTGGTTCCGGCCCCAGCCTGGAGCGCGCTCGTTAGGCCTGTGCTAATGTGTATACCACCTTGGTTATGCAGCCTGGAGGACACAGTTCAAATTTCTTCTACTGTTGGTAGTCTTGACCCAGGGGCACTGTTCCTGGCTTGAGCATTTAAGCTCCCTTCCCGGGGCGCTCTTGCTCTGGCCTGGCCAGCAGAGTGTGCTCCACCGGCTGGTGGGGCTCTTGAACAGTTCCCAGTTTTAGTGGGTCCTGTGGTCCGGGTGTTGGGGTAGGGAGTCTAGGTCAGGGTCTGGGGATTCCCTCCAGCTCTGGTCTCCCTTGATGGATTCCCTGTCCCCTGATGGGTACTCACCCTGTAGGTCGTCAGTTGTTGTTGCAGTCCGAGTTCAGTTGGGGTGGTTGCGGGCTGGGTTGGGCGGCCCCCCGCCGGGTCGTTGCGATCGCGACAGGTCCCTTTGTGGCGCTGCTGGTGCCGGGCGGCTTTGGCGGGATGGAGCCTCTCCGCTCCGGTGGAGAGTGATGGGTGGGGTGGGATCCTCCTGGAGACTCCCGGCTGGTAGGTTTCTCTGTTCCTGGCGATCCACTGTTCTGCAATCCGGTACCTGGTGATCTGCAAGCAGCCCCCTGTGTCTCTGTGGCTCCGGCAGCCCCTGCCGGGCCGGCTGGCCGGCGGCTTGGCGCACTGCCGCGCGGCCAGTAAAGGTTGGGGGAGGGGTCTTCGCTCTTCTCTGTTCTGAAATTCTTCTTTTCCTCTCTTTCTTTTTTTGTTATTTTCCACCTCTGGTTTTTCTCTGAGTGTTCGTCTTTTTGTTGTTGTCGGTCTCTTGGGGAGATTAAAGGTTGGAACTCAAACTCTCTTTTTGGTTGGAGAGAGCTGTGGCGTTTCCCTACTGCCCCGTCGCCATCTTGAGAACTCTCCCGGGAACCTATACTTTTGTGGATATTTATCTCATTTTTCTTTTCTAGGTACCATTACCTCTTGGGTGGTAATTTTTGTTCTGCCAATCAACAGTGCTTTGAACCCAATTCTCTATACTCTGACCACAAGACCATTCAAAGAAATGATCCATCAGATTTGGTACAACTACAGACAAAGAAGGTCCATTGACAGCAAAGGAAGTCAGAAAACGCAAGCTCCATCATTCATTTGGGTGGAAAAGTGGCCCATGCAGGAGATGCCATCTGATTTAGGGAAGCCAGCTGCTTTCACAGACCCCTGTGAAATGTCACTCATTTCTCAATCAGCCAGGTTCAATTCCCTGTCCTGTCTCTGAAAATCTGAAACCAATTTCTTCACAGAGAGTACTATGGGGTGCTTCAGGAGGGACATACAGGAGTGAAATTAATGTCACAAAATTAATAATTTATAACAACGACTAAGACAAGTTAGATTACAAGGACCTAAGAAAAAATAAAAGTAGCCAGTTCACATCGAGAGAAATAACTGTATTGGCAATGTGTATATATTAGGACCTATCTTATTTAGGAAGTTAGTAAAATCTACTTCAGTGAGGAATTAATTCTTCTAACATGCATTTACTGAGTACTCCCATACATGATAAAGTGCTAAAAGTGGACAAAACAGAACCTTTCACTCTGTAAACTGTGCTGAAACTAAAGACTAGACAAAGACATCTACAGCTCCTGCATTAAAGCACAGCTTCTTTGGTTGTATCAGCAAACACAAGAATCAGGATTAATTATTGCAAATAAGGGAAACCATGGGACCTATGTTTCTTTGGGCCTGGCTTACTTCACTTAATATAATTTTTTTCTAAGTCTTTCCATTTCCTAACAAATGGGGCAATGTCATTCTTTCTGATGGAGGCATAGAATTCCATTGTGTATGTATACCACATTTTCTTGATCCATTCATCTACTGAGGGGCATCTAGGTTAGTTCCATATCTTAGCTATGGTAAATAATGCTGCAATAAACATAGATGTGCTAGTAGCTTTAGTATGGTCTTGTTTGTGATCATTTAGGTAAATGTCCAAGCAGAAATGTCAGATAAGATGATGTTAAGCGAAATGAACTCCAAGATAGGAACACAAGTGGTTTTTTTCTTCCTTGCTGTTGTTTCTGACGTATTTATAAGGTACCATGTGATTTTTTTTGTTGCTTTGTATGTCCCTCCCCCATAGTATAACCCCTGTTTTCACTATATTTGATGTTGATGTAATTTGGGGAGGGGAAGGGAAAAAACAATGTTTAAATAGGGATACAGGTTGACCCATTGCAACAATGAGATGTACAAGACGCTATGTTGAAAAACGAACTTTACAATTTAGGCGGGGGTGAGGGGGGTTGAAGGGAGTAGGGGTGGGGAGGTACAGTTGAGGAGGTGAGGGGGACGGGATGGTAGGCAAAAAACAAAGGAGGAGGCAACAGCACTGGATAAGAAATGTACTCATTACCTTGCTCATGTAACTGTAACCCCTCTGTACAGTATTTTCACAATTAAAAAAATGTATTAAAAAAAGAATCAGGATTAAGGTTTTAGGACATTCAGTGTAATGGCATAAGAAAAAAAGAGTATTCAAAAAGTATAACTATCCTCTTTTAAGAATGCTTATCTGTCTTCAAGTCTCCACACAATGACAGCCAATATGGCATATTTATCATTACAAACACAGGATGCTTAGCTATAAATACAAAAGCACCTGTCTCAATTCCTACCAAGGTTTCTTTTTGGTTTGCTTTAAGTGAGCAGCAGTATATGGGATTGAAATGAAAAAGTAGAAGATTTAGGGATAAAGTGGTGGATATGACACACAGCCAATAACATGTTATCTTTTTTTTTCTTTTTTTAACATGTTATCTTATTTCCATAGTGCCCGGTTCCTACTCAAATGTTTCTTCTTCCCAGTGAAAATAACAAGAGTCTCATTTACACAAGCCCTCCAGGAATCAGTGCAAAGCCCAGGAGAGGAGCCCAGTACTATCATAACCTCCCTCCAAGAGGACTCCATTGGATTCCAGCCACTTTTTTTTTTTCACACCAGTCCTGGGGCTTGAACTCAGAGCCTGGGAACTGTCCTTGAGTTTTTGTGCTCAAGGCTAGTAGTCTACCATTTGAGCAACAGTGCACAAGTGTTTAATTGGAAAAAAGAGTCACACAAAGCCAGGTACCTGTGGCTTACATCTGTAATCCTAGCTACTTGGGAGGGTGAGATCTAAGGATCATCGTTCAAAGCCAGCCTGGTCAGAAATGAACCCGTGAGACTCTTATTTCCAATTAACCCCTCAAAATCTGGAAGTAGAGCTATGACTCGAAGTGATAGAGCACTAGCCCTGAGCAAAAGAACTCAGGGACAGTGCTCAGTCCCTGAGTTCAAGTCCCACAACTGACTGAGGGAAGAAAAAAAGTCTCACAGACTTTCTTCCTGGGCTGGCTTGGAGCTGTGATCCTCAAATCTCAGCCTCCTGAGTAGCTAGAATTACAGGTATGAACCACCAGTGTTTCTTCCACAGCTTTCCTTTCACTTTCAAATAAACTGTTTACTTTTAAAGTTTCCTTTTAATTCTTTAATGAGTAAAGAAAACCATTGCTTAGATGGTATCACAGCCATTCACCCGCCAAATAGAGAAATAATAAAGAAAAGTGATTACATGGCAGCTGTGAGAAATAAAGTACTTGAGTACATCTTCAGTTGTCTCCAAGGGTACAGACACCACCTTCATGTGTAATAGGGAGAATTAGGAGGTAGGGGTGAGAAAACTATGCACAGTTCTAAGTGATAGGTATAGCCTGGTTGATTATTAGCTTAGTCCTTGACTCTGGAGACCTGATGGATAGCCTATAACTTTTGACTGTTCTCTTCAAGACCGTAAGAAGATGACATTGCTTGTCTGAGAGGCAGTTTGCCTTTGGCTGCAAGATGCTTAATGGTGACTCTTGATTTTTTCTGGAGCCCAAGATGGTTGTGAAGGTTGTGCAGAAATGAATGACTCATACAAAGAGCACAGATGCCAAGTTGGGAGGAGGGGAATACTGAATGTCAGGCTTTTAGTTAATTCACAGGCCCAGTAAAACCACCTTTTAGGTTGGCTCTTACAAATAACATTCAATAATGTAACTATGTACATTTTAATTTTAATGTGTCCAGTGCATCTTGATCAGTCTCTTCCATCCTTTTCCAGTTTAGAAGTCATATTACTAATACAAAATAATAGAATAAAAAAGTTTTTCTAAAAAGAATATCTAAAAAAGACAATAAACATGGAAATCAGTACAAAAACAAATCCTAGGGCTGGGAAGGTGGCTCAGTGGTAGTGTTTGCCTTACATGCATGAGGCCCTGGGTTCAATTCCTCAGCACCACATAAACAGAAAAAGCCAGAAGTGGTGCTGTGGCTCAAGTGGTAGAGTGCTAGCTTTGAGCTAAAGAGCTGAGAGACAGCACCTAGGCCCAAGAGTTCAAGCCCTAGGACCAAAAAAAAAAAAAATCCTACCTCCCTCCAAAAAAAAATCATGACCATGCTGGGTGTTGTTGGCTCACCCCTGTAATCCTAGCTACTGAGGAAGCTGAGATTTGAGGATTATTGTTCAAAGCTAACCCTGGCAGGGAAGTCCATGAGACTGAGTTCAATCCAGTATGTGGGCGCACACGCACATACTCGCATGCACACGCGCGCGCACACACACACACACAAATATCCTAACCCACTGAAGGGTAAATAAAGTTAATTAGGTTTCCTCACCCTAACTTCCAGAAGTGTTTGGACAAATACTTCCCAAGGACTGTGATTTATCTGGTTTAGTGTGTTCATGTACAAATCTCTACCTTAGGAAACTTCAAAGGCATACTTGGGCAAATAATACTACTTGTGTCTAGTTGTGAGTATAACCAGGCAAAATTGTGAGAGAGGAGGCTGATGGACAGAATGTGAGCTTGTGAATAGAATGAGGCTACTGGTGGTACGAGTCTGTCTCTGAGTCTATGCTAATGTGATGTTATTAAGGTGTATGCTGCTGCTGCCAAGTCTATGTACTGGAGTGCCTGTGAATAAAGCATGACCGCCATTCTCACCTTGTCTGGCATTTCTCTTGGCCTATACAAATCAAATAATAACCTGTAACAACACATCTGTTTAAGGATCTTAGAAATAAAAACTGATGGACACAATGGTACATGCCTATAATCCCAGCTACTGAAGAGGCTGAAGCAGGAAAATCCTGAGTTCCAGATCAACTTGAGAAAAATTAGCAAGACCTTATCTCAAAAAACACAAAATGAAAATGGCTTGGAGCATAGCTCAAGTTGTATATCACTTATCTAGCAGTTCCAAGTCCTGGATTCAATGACCAGCAGTGAGAAAAGGAATATGTTGAATTTTCAAAACATCCATCTGAAACTCCTTTTAACTGTTAAATTTTTTTGTTGTGCTGGCACCGGGGTTTGAATTCAGAACCTAACACTTGAGATTTTTTTCACTCACTACCACTTAAACTACACCTACACTTCTGGCTTTTTGATGGTTAAACTGAAGAAAAGTCTCATACTTTTCTACCAAGGTAGGCTTTGAATCTCAATCCTAAAATCTCAACCTTCTGAGCAGCTACGATTATAGGTGTGAGCCATTAGCACCTGGCTCTTAAAATATTTTTAATGATTTTCTATCTACCAAACCCACTCACTTTCCAGCCCTTCTACATGTCGTCTAGCTCCTACCAGTTTCTATAGGAAGTACAACAGAAACACCAAGTTAATCCAGACACAGGGCAAGGTTTTCTTTTTTAAAAAGATAACTTGGGGCAACAATTGGTGGCTCACACCTGTAATCCTAGCTACTCAGGACACTGAGAACTGAGGATCAGGTTTGAAGCCATCCCAGACAGGAAAGTCTATGAGACTCTAATCTCCAACTACTAAAAGTCCAGAAGTGGCTCAAATGGTATAGTTCTAGACCTGACTAAAAAATCTAAGGGATAATGCCCAGGCCCTGAGTTCCAGCCCCAGTATGAGTACAAAATAAAAGAAGTTTTAAAATAATAAACCCAAAGAAATGAAAATCTTGCTTTTTATAAGAATTTATTTTTATGCATTTTTAAAAATCACAACGTTCAGAATACACAAGAAAATGTAAGAAAAATATTTTTCTTATACTGAAGTAAACATCTTTTTGGTATAGAAAACACACCATATGTGTGGCTTTTAGATTAAAAAAAAAAAATCAAGAATTATGGCCTAACATGCTAAATAAAACCATTCGTGCTTTTTTTGGTCCATCCATTTGTCCCCTATTGCAGCTCCACTGTGAGGTTTTTAAACAAAGTTCTTTACATATCAAGAGATCTACAAAGACTTAAAGACACCACATCAGAGACACCCAAAACTCATAAATAGATGCCTTCATTGTTAACAGATGATACAAACCATGAAAAAGCAACATAGGACACAACATAGCTAAAATAAAACATTGTCAGTATGGTCAAATCATACAAAAACATTACATCACTAAAATTTGACACATTAGAAACAAACTTCAGAAGTTATTAGGTAAATAACTTGGAAAGTTCTAATAAGAATAACACAAAGCCCTAATTTGATAAGGCAATTCAAACATAAAAATATTAAATGTGAGAAATCAACTTTAAAAATAAATTGGGAACTGGATACTGGTTGGTGGCTCACACCTATAATCCTAGCTACTCAGGAGGCTGAGATCTGAGGATCTCTATTCAAAGTCAGCCCAAGAAAGTCCATGAAATCCTTATCTCTCAGTAACCACCAAAAAGCTAGAAAGAAGTAGAGTTGTAGCTCAAGTGGTAGAGCACTAGTCTTGAGCAAAAAAGTTCAGGGACTGAAATTAGGCCAAATTTAAGTCCCAAGACTAGTAGGAAAAAACAATGGAGGAAAGAGGACACATTTTCTGTGTTTTTTTGTTGTTTTTTTTTTTTTGGTCTGATCGTGGGGCCTGAACTCTGGGCCTGGGCACTGAACCTCAGCTCGTCAGCTCAAGGCTAGCACTCTACCACTTGAGCCACAGCGCCACTTCCAGCTTTTTTCTTATGTGGTGCTGAGGAATCGAACCCAGGGCCTCAGGCATGCAAGGCAAGCGCTCTACCACTGAGCCACCTTCCCAGCCCGAGGACACATTTTCTCTAGACATATTTTCATTTTCTAAAATAAAACCTTTTCCAAAAAACATCACACAATGGGAAAATTTATTTATCATCTATTCTGAAACGTTATCAAAATGCAAGTTACCATGCTGAGGGTGGTAGTGTGTATACCTGTAGACCCAGCATTTATGAAGGCTAAGGCAGGAGTACCAGGAGTTTGAGGTTAGCCTTGTCTACATAGTGAGATCCTATTTCAAAACAGAAGAGAAAAAAAAAAGAAGAAACAAAAAACTCAAGTCCCCATAAGGAGACTTTACATAAATGAACTTCAGATTCATACATTTTTTACAAAAATAATCTTGTCTTCATGCTTTAAAAAAAAAAAGAAGAAGAAGAAAAAGTAATTTTTAAATATGTTTGCGAAGTGTTTTACTCAACGAAACTTTGGGAGTGTCAGGTGACGGTTTCAGGTGCCTCGGTTCTAGAAGTCATAAAACTTATCTCTGTTCCAGAGAACTTAGCTGAGGGAACTGATATACACTGGCAAACTTAATCAAGTCCTTTGAAAGTTGTAACATGAAACTCAGCTTCACTCTTCTGGCATTCTCAGCATCTTCCAAAGTAATTATCTGGTCATACCATGGCACTGTTAAAATTATCTACTGAGAAAAATAACTTTCAGAAAGGAATCTGAAAACGTTTAAAGAACAGAAACTATTTAAGGATAAACATACTTGTCAACATTAAAAAAATCACATCAATAGTCTACTTGCACAAAAGTCTAGAAAACCAAGAAAAATTTCATTTTGAATACACAGAAATACTGGAGATTGTGCTATATATGTAGTACATGTGCAAATCGATATGAGAAGGTGAATTATACAGTCATAATTAGTTGTCAGGTTTCAGAGAATCATAGCCTTCTTTCAAGAGGTCTCTCCACGTCTTAAGGAAGCGTGCATTTTCTGTACATTTAAGGGCAATCTCTTCCACTTGAGCTGATACTGCAGATGTGGCTTCAAGAAGTTTGGTTAATGAAAACGCTGCCTGAAATTATATATATAAAAAAAAGTCAAATAGGTGAATTTTTTTTGTTCTTTTTGTGGTGGTGGGAATTGAAGCCAGGGCCTTGTGCACTGTAGGTGAAAGCTCTATCAACTGAGCTATATCCCAAATCCCAGATATTTATTTTTTTAAATTCTTATTTCCTTTGATAGACTAAAAATAGCTAAAAACTTTGACTCTAAGGCCCAAGTGTTTTTCTTTCAACATGATGGGTTTTCAAAGTAAAACACTAGGCTCTTTCACTGAACCTAAAAAAGTCTCTAACCCTATACCTTGCACATGCTTACGCACAGGATTTACCACTGTACTCTAACTCTGGGCCTGAAATTTGAGGAAACACATCTCCTAGAAAAAATATTCATTATGAGTAAAACGTAAGTCACTATTTAATTGAAAAACACACTAGAATCTCATTTAGCTCAACAAAACAACTTGACTGCAGGTACCAGAATATTTTAGATCACAAAAATGTAGAGCAAAAAAACACTCTAGGCTCTGACAAGCATCGACAAAATCACACAAATTCGAAAATTTCCACTTCTTGGTGGAACATCTCTTTTAATCAGTGTTCTTCGGCTAAGAGATAAAATAGCACTACCTAGAGAACACATCAGTCTTTCATTCTACATATTTACTTGTAACCGGTTTTGTTCTGAAAAAAAAATAATAAACCCCAGAGGAACATTTTGCTTCCTCGCAAAAAAAAAAAAAAAAAAAGCAAGTGTCCAAATATGAGCTAATGAAGTTCAGTTCCCAATTCTGCACACAAAGGTCAATTCCACAAAGCTCTCCCAAGAAGGTTCAACCGTACAAACTTCAATCTACTTGCATAAATACTGCAAGTGTCAGCCCTCCAGCTGGACGAGGGTTCGAGTGGCAGGTGTTGTTTTGGGGAATTTGGGATTTTACTCCACTCAGTATGCATTCTAGAAAGCAGAGACAGCAATCAGAGACGGGCAGCAAAGGTAGTGAAACCAACAGGGCAGGGCCGGGGCTAGGCCCTCCAAGCCGATCCAGCACAGAGGAAAGCATTCCCAGCTGGCTGTGGGCAGGTGGCCAACTGGCACATCAGGAGGAAAACCAAGGGCCGAGAGCCACCTCGGGGGTGCAGAAGACCGCGCGCGGTTTCGGGTTACTTGACCCCGGTGATTGGAAACAGAAGGACCAGAAGAAAGCCGAGGGAGGCCGCTAGTCCCTCCGGCGGCGGGCATCGCCGCGGGCCGAGCCCGCCCGGGAGCCGCAGCCTCGCCCGGGTCCCGGCCCGACACTTACGTCTCCGATCTGCAGCTCCACTTCCTCCAGAGGGTCCACCTCTCCGTCGCCGTTCCGGCTCGGAGCCCGCCAACCCGAACTTACGCCGGAGGAGGGTGCTGAAGACGCGTCCGAAGACGAGGGAAAAGAGGGAGGCGGCGGAGGCGGCGAGCAAACCTGAAACTCCTCTACGTCAGCCATGGGGAAAGGGCTAGGACCGTGGAGAGGGACTGGGACGGCCGAACCGCCACCAACTGTCTTTCAACCACGCGCGCCCAAAGCCAAAGGCTCCGCCCCCTCCCTCCCGAAGTCCTGCCCCTTCTCCCCCTGAGTCTCCGCCCCGAAACACAAAGACTTTTCATTCTTCCGGACAGCCAGGCAGCTGTCAATCAAGTCACCTTGGGCGGCTCCCCGCCCCCTGCTCAAACATCTATGGGGCTCTTGGGACGCTGTAGTAAGAACACTACAACTCCCAAAATGCTGTGCGATGCGCCCCGCCTCCTATTACCTCCAGTACGCCTTTGTGCGGGGCTTCTGGACATCGTAGAGCCTCCGGCGCCTTCCCAAGCTGCAGTGAGGAGGCCCGAAGCCGCAGGCTGCGCTGGGACTTGTAGTCCTCCATCCTTTTCGCCTTTGTACGTGACCCGGAAGTCTAGCAGGTTGACGGGTCGAAAGCGGCGCCGGCGCAGAACAGGAGAGGGGCGGGAACGCAGCGAAGCAAGGGCGGTCGGCGGAGAGGCAGACTTGAGAGGGACCGACTGCTTCCTGGCCGAGGATGGCGCCCCCCTCTGCATAGGAGACCCTCGTCCGCGGCGAGCCTCTGACAAGTCTCTTTTCCCTGTATCAGGCCGAGAGTCCTCGTTACTTTGAACATGTCGGTGTCGCTAGCCAAGCTGTCCTGTCCGGGTGAGAGGGAACTGCGGGTGGGGACGTGCAGAGTCAAGTGGAAAAGTTGGGGCAAAAGAGATTGGGCCACTCCTGAGGACTCCGGGTACCCCCCCTCCCCCCGCCCCGCCTGCTCTCAAGCTAAACTAGGGCAAAGGTCAATGCTGTCAGCTCCTGGTAGACCCTTGCTTCCCCCTGGAAGTGGCCCCATTTGGAAGAGTTAGACATCTAGGTTAAAGGTCACGGGCGTAGGAAACAAGTTAACATTCCTTGAATCTTCCCAAATCCTGACCCTACCCTTATCCCAAGGAGCAGATGTTACCTGTTGCAAGACAAAAAGAACTATTTTACAAGTTTGCAACCATCCTAACCTATTTAAATATCAAGTCAGACCTGTCACTGATTCATGTACTTTTCCTGTCTAGATTATATAGAGCTAGGAATGTGTCATGTTCTAAATTGACTCCTAGTGTGCTCCTCGAAGCAGGTGGAAGATATTTAAAGATTTACTTAAAAGTAGATATATGACCGGGCGTCGGTGGCTCACGCCTGGAATACTAGCTTCTCAGGAAGCTGAGATCTGAGGATCGCGGTTCAAAGCTAGCCCAGGCAGGAAAGTACGTGAGACTCCTTATCTCCAGTGGCGCTGTGGCTCAAGTGATAGAGCTGAGGGAGAGTACCCAGGCCCACAGTTCAAGCCCCATGACCGACAAAAAGAAAAAAAAAAAAAAGTGGGCTGGGATGGTGGCTCAGTGGTAGAGTTCTTGCCTTGCATGCCTGAGGCCCTGGGTTCGATTCTCCGGCACCACATAAGCAAAAAGAAAAAAAGCCGAAAGTGGCGCTGTGGCTCAAGTGGTAGAGTGCTAGCCTTGAGCTGAAGAGCTGAGGGACAGCGCCCAGGCCCAGAGTTCAAGCCCCACGACAGGACCCCCCCCCCAAAAAAAAAAAGAAAGTAAATAAATATATGTACTCATACAGAGGCTCTTGAATTTTGTCATACCTGGATTAATTTTTAAGTGCTTACTGAAGTTAAGTTTGGTTTCTTGAATCCATAAGTATACATATTGCAAATTTAAGGATGTGTTTGTGTCAATTTCATGTGAGAATTTTGGCCCCCATATATTGAGTTAGAAGTTAAAGTTTCTGTTTCCCATACATCTGTTACCTCATCTGCTCATATGGCTGTATGGGTTGGGGGAGGGGGAGGTAGTGGTAGTGTTTATTGTTTTGTTTTGGTGCTGGTTTTGTGGCTTGAACTCAGGATCTGGGCTCTGCCTGTAAGCTTTTGTGCTCAAGGATAGTGCTCTAACACCTGAACCATGGCTCCATTTCTGGCTTTTTGGTGATTAATTGGAGATAAGTCTTACGGACTTTTCTATCCTGCTAGGTCTCTATTTATAGAGCTCAGCCTCCGGAGTAGGTAGGATTATAGGCAGGAATGCCCCAGCAACTTTGGTTTTTTGGACATTGTTCTAGTCAGAAGCAACCATGGGCCAGTGCCCATTTCTTTTCTTTGGATGATAGTTCATTGCCATTTTAATAGCCACTCGTTAGCAATACTGGTAACAAAGAGGCAAACACAAATGTGCTGTTACTGATGTGGTGGTGTGAGTTCTGTGGCCTTTATGACTTCACTTCTCACCCAGAATTTCTTCACAGTACTTAATTTCAAATCTCTAAAGTGAGTTGTCAAATTTACTTTCAGAAAAGGAATAAAGGTTAACTTTTTTAGTCCCTTTGAGGAAATCCAACTCCACAGTTAAAATATTTTCAAGCAAATCAGTAACAATAGGAGCAATAGGATTAGTTTGCATTTTCTAATCATTAATTTTCAAAAGTAAATAGCATAACTTTTTAGCATTAACTACATTGTATCATAATATTTTAAATGGTGACAGCATCATGAATTCTGGAACTGCATACATGTCTCATGCTTTTTCTCTTTTGAGATTTAGATTAGGCAAAGAATCATCTAATGCTTATGTATTTCCAAGTAGAGAAAATTTAAAAAAAATTTTAAATAAAAAAAAATCAGACACAGAAGTATTCTGCTTAAAAGGCTAGAGTTTAGCTACTATAAATCTTTTCCCCTACTGCATTCATCATACCCTGTAGCTGTTACTGTCTTACGCCAATACTTCTTATAATCTATCTTCTTGATGAGGCCATCCTAGTGAATATAAAATAATACCTCATTGTTTTGATTTTCATTTCCTATAGTTAATGCTGTTGAGTCTTTTCATGTGCTTCTTTGGGGGAAAAATGGCTATTTCAGTTCTTTTGCCCACTTTTTAATAAAGTTTTATCTTTAGATATATTTCTTCATAGTCTAGACACAAGTTCCTTATCAAATATATGGTTTAAGAATAGTTTCTCCTATTTTTATGGGGTTTTTGTTTGTTTTGCTTTGTTTTGTTTGCTGGGCCTGAGACTTGAACTCAGGGCCTGAGTACTCACCCTGAGCCTCTTTATGCTCAAGGCTAGCTCTACCACTTGAGCCAGAGCACCACTTCTGAGTTTTTTTGAGTAGTTTATTGGAGAAGAGTCTCTCAGGGACTTCTCTGCCTGGGCAGGCTTCAGATCTGAGTAGCTAGGATTACAGGCATGAGCCATTTGCCCACTGCTTATAGGTTATATTTTAACTTGGTTTCATTTGAAACATAAATGAGGTGCTAGATTTTTTTTATAATTTTGATTATATTAAAAAAATGCTTAACTTGCAGTCAGAAGATGTATATGCACATTTTTTTCCTAAGAGTTTTGTAACTTTAGCTCTTCTTTTTCAGTCTTTGATCTTTTTGAGTTAATTTGATATCATGATCTTTTTTTCAACTTTTTTTTTTTTTTTTGGGGGGGGGGGGTCCGGTTGTGGGGCCTGAACTCTGGGCCTGGGCGCTGTCCCTCAGCTCTTCAGCTCAAGGCTAGCGCTCTACCACTTGAGCCACAGCGCCACTTCCGGCTTTTCTCTTTTTGCTTAATGTGGTGCTGAGGAATCAAACCCAGGGCCTCATGCATGCAAGGCAAGCACTCTACCACTGAGCTACCTTCCCAGCCCTTTTTTCAACTTTTCTATTTTGAAATAATTTGACTGAAAGATGAGTTGCAAAAATAATATAGTCCCATGTATTTTTTGCAAGCTTTAGTATAATTATCAAAACTAAGAAATTAACATTTATTAAATGCTTTTATCTAATTACAGACTGTATTCAGATTTCCTTTTTTTACTTTAGGATCTTGTCCAGAGTACTGAATTGCTTTGACTTCACATATCTCCTTTAATCTATATCAATGTGACAGCTCCTCTCTCTTTTCTTGTCTTTCATGATCTTGACACTTTTGCTACATACTTATCAGGCATTTTGTAGAATGACTGTCCATCTTAGATTTAAAGATGTTTGAAGATGTATAACACAGAGATGAAGAATTCCATTCATTGCATCTTCTCAGGGAATATGTGATAGCAATATCCCTTGCTGATGGTATTTAAAGTTGGTCATGAGCTTGAGGCAGGGGAAGGAGACTCTGGATCAAGTGATAGAACACCTATCTAGCAATCTTGAAGCCCTGAGTTCAAATCATAATATACTGTAAAACAAGAAAGAAATAAGTAAATAATGTTGGTCACTTGGTTAAAATGGCTTCTGCCATATTTACTGTACAATTTACATTTTTTAATACTCTACTTGTTTGAAAATAGTTAATGAGTCCATACTCAGTGGGGAAAAAAATAAAGATTTTATGGATATGCCATCATTCTTTGGAATGGTGACTTTATCAAAATCAGTGATGAGCTGGATACCAGTGGCTCATGCCTATAATCCTAGCTACTCATGGGGCTGAGATCTGAAGATTGAGGTTCAAAGCAAGCTTAGGCAAGAAAATCCATGAGACTATTAGCTCTGATTTAGCACCAAAAAAAAAAAAAGCTAAAAGTGCTACCCTTGAGCAAAAGAGCTCAGGGATAACACCTAGGCTCTAAGTCCAAGGCTCAGGACCAGCACCAGGTTAAAAAAAAAAAAATGATGAAAGATTTTCACACAGGAACAGTGAGTGTATACTTTCTTGCAAATAGTTTTCTATTTATTTCACCATGTCTTTAATTTAAAATGGCATATTCATCACATTCTGTTTCTGAGCAGCTTTTGTTTGTTATATTATCCTATCCTTATAATTTCATAATTTTTATGCAGCATATCATTGCTTCCATGCCTTAAAATTTAACAAAAGTTATCTGCCTGTGTGTGCTACAAGATGGTCTTCAACTTCCATTGTACCTCAGATTACTACCCACTATACTATATATCCCCGGGATAAGGACAAGCGATGGGAAGGTAAGTGCAATAATATTGAGATTTTTCTAGATCTTTTATATCCTTTTGTGG